CTTTTACATCCTATAAACCGTTTTTAAATCTGTTCTGTCATCGTCAACCCAGGTAAAAAAAAAAAAAAACAAGCTTCAATCCAATCCTGTAGAAATGATTCGTCTGTGTGTTTTGAGGCACATTCTCTTATTTGCGGAGGCATCAATCTCTATCATGTCTGGTTTATGTGATCCTCTCTCGCTCGTACCCACCCCTCTCTCTCTCTCCAGCCACTTGTGCCGCCATCTGTTCTCGATTAATGTGAGTTACGAGCAGTAATTGAAGCATCTGTTCATCCGGTGTGCATCCTTTTGCTCTGACACTCCAACATAAACCACCTCTCTCTCGCTGTATTTCTCACTGTGTCCTTCATTCTGTCGCCATTATGTCTCTACTTCGACTCTACCAATCATATTTCAGCCGTTAGTTTGGTCCATTGCTCCTGTTGAGACTGAAATATATAACAAAGTATCGGATGGATAGCCTTGAAATATTGGTCGGATATTCATTATCCACGGAGCGTGAAATCTAAAGACTTTGGCGCTGTCCTGATTCTTTCTTTCTTGAACCACCAGTTTGTGATTTTGAATGACCAACAATTGGGTTTTAATGACACCTCCGTGTTAGATAAAACTGTAATAACTAGTCTCCGACCGATAAGTGATTTTTGGGGCTGATACCGATATTGATATTGACGAGAGAGAAAAATCTGATACCGATATATCAGCAGATATCTTACTTAATCTATGTTCAATCTTTAGACATAGATAAAGATAAACACCTTTATTGCATTGATCGGCCAAATGGGGATCAAACTCTGTGGAAAAGATTTATAATGAAGACAAGATGGTCACTCGATCGAAAATAACTTTACGTGCAACATCACTTGACACTCTGGAGAGTGATGATGCTTGCTGTAATCCATACAGCGCCCTCTGCTGGTGAAAGAGAACTGCTAGTGTAATACAATGATACTGAAATGAAATGCTGGTTCACCGGTGAATAAATCTAGAAATATCGGCGCATATCTGTGATAAGAAAAAGCTGATACCGATAGTCACTGGATGAGCTAATATCGGCCCGATTATATCGACTGAACGATTATATCGGTGGGGCTCCAGTAATAACCAAGGTAACCAGTGTTAATCTCGTCAACAAAATAAATGACGAAAATATTTGTTGTCTTTTTAAATTAGTCAACTGTGACCATGACGAGACGAAACTCCGCTATTTGACGATTTGATAAATAATATTACTTCATCATCTAATTGACGAAAATGTGACAAAACGAAAACTACATTACAAAGTGAGGATTATCACGTCCCCCCTCAGCTGTTCTAAAATCATTGTAAACCACAGCAGACTTAAGTGTGTGTGTGTGTGTGTGTGGTGAGTGCAACAATGTGCAGCCTGGAGCCTGCAGGTCCGTGAAGCCCCGCCCCCTGGAGCTTATGATAATAAAAATAAAAGCTTGCGTCTGATTTTGTTGACTAAAATAACTTCTATTTTCGTCAACTGAAATGATGTGCAATTTTAGTCAGTGACTAATTGGCTAAATTAAATCAATAACAAATGACTAATATCTGACTAAATATGAAGGACATTTTCGTCAGGAGACTATGACTATGACTAAATGGTGTGAAGATTAACACTGAGGGTAATTATACAGTTAAGATGGCACCAATGTTCAGCCGTTGTTTCTTTGTTTAGTGTTCTACAAAGAAGAGCTCCCTGTGCCTTCACAGAAAGGAGACCCACCTGTACAAAGCCTGAATACACGCAGATGAAAGTACTGTAGCTGCAAACACACACGCACTCGCACATCACATCACCGGTATTTGCCTTGTCTCTTTTTATTGATCCCTTCACTATAACTGACGCAGAGCTGTCAGCTGATATTGAAGAGGCTGTCTAAGCGCTCAACTGGGAATCAGTGTGAAATACCTGCAAACCGGCGCACACTTATCGTGAAACAACCAACAACTGTTTGTGAAGAGACTCTAATCTGACAAGATTTCTCTGAGATGCTCCAGAAGTCTGCTGAGAGGAAGAGGTGGGGGGAAATGAGACTGAAAGTGTGTGTGTGTGTGTGTGTGTGTGTGTGTGTGTGTGTGTGTGTGTGTGTGTGGCTGTCTGGGCTCGGGACCCCCTGCATGTGCTTAGCAGGCAGCGTAGCCAGACTGAGCTAATAGGCAGGATGAGTGTGAGCAGCAGGATGGAGGAGGTGATGGAAGGTAGACTCTTCCTGCTGTCACTTGCTGTCTGGATCTGGCATGTTTACACCGTTGACGGGGGTAGAAAGCTCAGACACACACACACACACACGCACACACACATGCACACACCTGCATACACACAACTCCAGCCTCTATTGTGCTGTACGTTCACTCCCAGACAGACAGTCACGCAGAGATAATAGCCGCCTTGCTTTGATTATAACTTCTCCGCCTTTGATATAATCATCCTCATCCGACTGAAATTATCTTACCGCTTCAAGGTAAAGGTAAAATCAAGAATACAACACTGCATCCTGCGTACAGCAGCCAAATCAGTGTGAAGTGCAACAGATTTGAGAGGCTGCGCTAAGTAGAGGTGGAGGCAGACAGGTGGGGCGTCCATATGCCGCTCCATACCAGACCGACTCCTCATCCCAATCCAATCCAGCCCTGCTGCTCCTGTCTCCAGCCTGGATGAGGGTCAGAGGTTCAGGCTGCTGTCTCTCTCTCTCCTCAGCATGCTCACTTGGCATCGGAGATCGCCGTCCTCTATTTCAGATTTCCTCACTGATTTTTTTTCTGCTGCTGCTGTAAAATGTTTTTTCTTCTTTGTCCCAGTTTGTGAAGCATTTTGTAATTTTGTGAATGTCAACTTTAATTTCAGGAGCTTCAGAAATTACGATGAATTCAACTTTAAACTTCTCTCAGCTATATGGCGCCCCAGGTGGTAGGAAAAGGTGCCCTCCAGAGAAGCCCTTTTAAGTTGGTTGCCATCGGCGTTTGCCTCACTGTAGTAGATCGCAACGGTGCTACTTCCAGCCTGTACCAACCCTCTGTGCTTGCTCGTTTAAATATGGCTTTGCATGTTGGCATTTCCACTGTGGGGGACTAAAAATGGACACTTGCAGTGTGCGTGCAAAAATGCAGAATATCCATCCCATGTCACTTTCCTCGAGCTCTTCGGCAAATGCTGACTTCCTTTTTTCAGCATGACAGCTCACCTACCTGTCGTTATGTATAGCAGGCCTTTTAGGTATGCGAAGACAGGCTAGCTTAGCAAGAGACGCAACCCCGAGATTGATTGACACATGTGCAGACAAATCAGTGTTGAACTTTGACTCGTCTTGCATTTGTGATGTTTTTCTATTGGTTAAAAATGTAAAACAGCCATGGCAACGACATTGATTGACATATATACAGACAAAGCACGGTGTATTGTTTGGTTTGGTTAAAACCAGGACAGTGATTGTTCCAAACCAGGACATATGAGGGGTTTATAGACATTTGTGGGGACTCAATGGATGGACGGTCGCCCTAGTGTAAGGGCAAAACAGATAACGATATTATCATGGTGGCTGCTCCTGCTCTTAGACTCATTTGTGATGAGTGTTTTAAGGGATATTATTGCAGATGTAATTACCGACCATTTATCCCACTTTGTGTTAATTAACAGTTCAAATGACACCATGGCCTGTTTCACATTCTGCTCCCAGCACCAGCGCATGAGACTAACGGCTTAATGCATTAGATTAGACGTGACCTCCGGGCTCCATTCGTTTCAGTGAAGCCCGTCTGAAGACGAGGACAGGACAAAAGACGGCGCGGGTTGCAAGAAGTGGCAGGCGGGACAGGAGCTGCCATGTAATCGAATTCCTCCTCCCTTTGTCTTCATTCATTCAGTGTCATGACAGATTATGTTTAAGTGGGAGGAGGGGAGGGCAGGATGATAAATGAGAGAGAGAGAATCACGGCACAGGCGAATGGGAAGGGAGAGAGGTAGACGGCACAATTAAGTTACAGTCTGGACGCCGGCGAGAGGGGAAGAAGAGTTTTTGGTCGTCGCCTCCTCATGAATTTGGTGTCATGATTCATTGTCTGTAATGCTGCTGTGAAATGCACGAGGGTTTCCTAATGAAGTGTGCCGCTGTTTGTGTGTGCATGCGATAGAAACAGTGTGTGTAAACTACTTGCTGTATCAGTGCTCTGCAGGTTGGACTCACACTCAAGCACAATGGGGGGTTTTTAATTATTTCCGTTATGTGAACACCTCTGGGGTGTTTCTAACCCGTTTGACCTAAATAAAATTCTCTTTATTCAGAGGAAGTGGTTAAGAATGTATGAGTCTGTGCTCAATAATATCACCCATTTATATATTTTGAGCTCGGCGTCCGGCCTTCCCAAGGTGTGGTTGTGCTAATTGGACGACATACCAGTAAAGGGAGGTTCCAACTTGACAACCCAAATGGTGTCTTGGCTCAATTTCTGGAGTTTATGCCTCGAACATTGGCTAAACTTCCGATGACAAAATTGTAGAGATTCCTTTATTGACCTCAGGATCCATCAGCATTCATCTGATTCAATGATGTTGCCACGGGGAGTTTCCAGCAACCTGCTAACTCTGCTAGCACAAAGTTAGCGATAAAGTACTTCAGTCCGAGACTTTCTGATCATGGTTCAGTGTTTCCCACAGAATGTTTCGGTGGAGTGCGCACATGTCATCATTATTTTGTTTGTTTTCATAAACTGAAATGAAGATCTTTTCCTCGCTTTTTTGTTGGACCAGATTTAAAAACCCCAAAGTGGAATTTTGAGTTGGACTGTTTTAATTTGTGAGGACTGAGGGATTGTGGGATATTGAGTATTTGTTATTTTGTGTTTGTGGTTTGAGTCTTAAAACAACAAAAAAACAACCGACTTATCTTAAATGCCAGGAGAGAGACCTGGCTGGCACCCCTAAAACAAAATATTAAAGGATCATCACATCTCAAAGTCAAACTGTCACAATGTGTGATAAGCAGGTTGCCATGGCGAGGACACTGAAGCTTCAGTGTTTAGCCAGCTATACATGGGTATGATTGAATTCAGTAGATCGCTTACTGAAGCTCCTTTAAATCCAAATGGAAACCTGAGAAGAAAAACAGTTTTTTTTTTGTTTTTTTGTTTTTTACTGCACATGCTTTCTGTTTAAAGAGTTTAAATAAAAGTCAAGAGTTTTCTGATGTTAGTCTGATTGAGGGTTTCATGGACTGCAACTTAGCAAATGCTTTTTGCCTCTGATGTTTTCCACAAGTCTGAAATACTCAAATCTCAAATCAAAGGACAAGATTCAAAGAGCCTCAAACAAATCCTTCAACACTTAATGGTAAACTGTTGTCTCCTTGCAGGCCTACTTCCGTCAGGGTGTTGCTCTGCAGTACCTGGGTCGTCATGCCGACGCCCTCGCAGCCTTCGCCTCCGGCCTCGCCCAGGACCCCAAGAGTCTCCAGCTGCTGGTCGGCATGGTGGAGGCCGCCATGAAGTCGCCCCTCAGAGGTATGTTCGTGGAGTTCAGTCTTTGTCTTCCTCCTTTTCTTCCATCGTTTCTCTCCACACTTTGTATGAAAACAAGAAGAAGATGCACGCAAACATAAAACAACAGCTGTTTGTGTCCTTTGCAGAAACTTTGTGTTTGGAAAGTTGAAGGAGCGTGAGACGTAGCAGCTGGGGGAAAACTGTTGAGTTAAAACTTACATTTTTATTCTGTTTTATTCAGAAAAGCTCCTCCTGGGACTGAGATCAGAAAAAGTCAAAAAAAAAAAAGAAGAAAAAAAAGAGCTGCCTCTGGTGATTGAGATCTCACAAAGAAATGGATTCATGTTTGATGCGACAAAGACGGAGATAAGAGAAAAGAGAAACTGAGAAAATGACACAGAGACGATAAATAAAACAAGCAAGTCAGATGAAATAGAAAGAGAAAGAAAAGACGTTCAAAGACAATGGAAACAGGGAACTCTGTAGATTCAGGGGGATTAGTATAAGTCATCTTCAGTTTCCACATGTTGATGAACATGTCTCACATGAACAGTCTAAATCTAAAAGTCTGTGAAGTCGTCTCTAAACACACTGCAGAGAGCTGCATGTGAAAAGACTGAGTTATGACTGAATTATGGATTAAGCCTATAACAAAGTTTGTCATCACTTTTAGATTCAGGTTTATTTTCTGGGGGGGGGCTAAATGGAGGGCTCAATGATGCACTTGGGTTTTGATCCAGCAGATGTCGCCCTTGAGCTCCAGCATGAAACCAAAACAACTCGCAGCTGCATTGTTGTGTTAGCATGCTAATGCTAGCGATCTTTATTATGCTGGTATCTTCACACTGCATGTAAATTTACCTGAAATGAGCGTGATCTAGAAACACAGTTAAGCAGTGAGTACAGTATGTTATTCTTCTTTTCTCTAGTCCCTCAATTAAACAACTTTTAAACTCGAGGGGAGGAGTCAGCCGGCCGTCCCGGCGATGTAAACAAAGTGAAGATAGGACTCTGAAAACTCTGAAAACATCACAGACAGTGGGACTCGGGTGTTACACCCATTGTAGACAGTCATGACTCACAGAGTTATTTTCAGAGGATATACTTGATTTCTACATTTAAGTGTGAAAAATCACATATTAAGACTTTAATGCAGGGGGCGCTGGAGTCCCATCGATGGCGGTCTCCATGCTGGAAATGCTGTCTCACCCTAACTTTCATTCAACCTAACGACAGGCTGAGAGCTGGAGCTGAGGCCTCTTGACAAACCGTTAATTCACGCCCCTGTACTGTGTTCTGAATGAGAGCCAATCAGATGTCTGATTAATGTTCAGACCTAGCAGGTATGAAGTTGGTTTAGCAGCAATCACTATTTTTCTGAAGACAAATCTGTTTGGTCCAGAGACAAGAGATCTCATTACTAATAATCCCACTCCTGATTCTGATATCTTTTCCATATTCATGAATCTGGAGACATAGTGAATCTCCTGGGTTATTTCTTGCTACCGTGTTTATTAGCATGAATTAGCTCCTTGTGGAGCTCCTGATTAAATATTTAAAGGTGGATTCTTGTGTGTCATTGATCTATCCGCCCCACAAGTTCACACACTACACTTTAATGTGCAGGTCTAAACAGCATTACGAGATGAAGGAAGAGTGCACATAATCAGGAATGGTTTGCAGGCTGGAGCTGGCACTGGATTATGTTTTCTGCCCTTCAGCTGTATCAGAATGAGAGCAATACGGCTTCTTGGGAATAGACGTCTACTTGGCAGGCTGCAGAGAAAGTCTATGCACGTGGAATTTTATGCATCTGTTTTTTTTTTTTTACACCGGAGGGCTTAGCTCGTTGAGTATTCACAATATATTTCGCTCTGAGGTATGATGTGTCGATGCAGGTGGGGCGGATTGAGCATAAGGCTTTAGTGCTAACTGACCTAATGAACACTACTTTTGTTGCATATACCTGAATCATAGGGAGAAAAAAAGTAATAACAACAACAAGAACAATAATTTATACTTTATTCATCACCGGAAGGGCAAATTGGGTTTTACACTCTGTTTAAAGAACATGAGCACACACACACACACATGCACAAACAGGACCCTACATGCATTAATGAAGAGGTCTCAGAGTGAGGGGGGCTGCCCCACATCGAGCGCTCCAGAGCAGTTTTGGGGTCCGGTGCCTTGCTCAAGGCAGTGCTCAGAAAGTGGACTGGCACCTCTCCAGCTACCAGACCATTTTCCAGACTTGAACCGGTGACCCTCTGATTCCCATCCCAAGTCCTTACACACTGAGCTACTGCCGCCCCAACAACATAAATTGGAAGATTTCGAGAAAAGAACCACAATGAACTCCTTAACCTACTTATATTTAGATTTATTCTGGAGACAGGACAGTGGGTAGAGTCAGAAACCAGGGAGAGAGAGAGAGAGAGAGATTGGGGTTAAGCGCGCAAAAGAGCCATGGGTCAGATTTGAACCTGGGCTGCCCACTCTCAGAGGACTAAGCCTAAGCCTCTGATTTACTGTGATTTTAACATGTGGCAGACTCTGTTCGGGGTAAACAGCAATCGTCAGTTTTTGATAGTGATCAGGAGCATCTCTTGATCGATGGCAGCAGCTCTGTCATATACAGTATGTATCAGAGTCCTAACTAAGCTACTGCAGAGCCTCACTCTGCAGATCAGCTGCTCAGTGGGAGGTCTCTCTGCTGTCCAGGGGGGGCTGCAACCCTCCCCAAAATCAAATCTCCTGTAAGCTTCAAAGCGATCACGCCTCAAAGTGAAGAAGCCAACTATCAGGTGTTACCAGGAGTCTTCATGCTTCGTGGTTAAGTAGGCAGGAGGGAAAGGGCAACATGTTGGAGCGTGGAGAAGGCATGTATAAGCAGTGAGCACAGAGGGGGGTGGGGGGTGGGGGCGGTCTGCAACATTAACAGCATGGATGAGGCCGGCCCCCTCTGGGTTAGCTGTCTCCTGTTGAGCCTGTTGATGTCTTTTTTATGGGTTTGTTTGCTGCAGGGCGTCAGACGGGCAAAGTTGGCAGTAGAGGCAGTCGAGCAACTTCTTCTGGATGACGTGTGAGATATTTTTTAACATCACAACACTTTGAAAATAAAGAGAGGTGTCGGTGTCTCCTAACAGAACAAATGAAGACGACAGCAGCTGGAGTTCTTCTCATTTTGCACAAGCTGAAGCGCAGCATTATGGGGCCGTTTAAGGTGTGTTTGAAAGCAACTAAAAGAAAATAATTCTGGAATTTTAACTTTGGTATGAGCAAGGACATTTTATCTAACCTGAAAAAGAGAAACTGAATGAATAGTGATTCACTTCTGCAACACTTTCCCTCCTTTATTTGTGGTTGTGCACCTTCCACAGCTTCCAGTACAACCTGGAAACAAGGAATACTATTGTTCCCAACTCAGGCCTCCATCCATTGTCTATTCCCACTTTTCTCGTTCGGGTGGCGGGGTTGCTGGAGCTGATCCTAATAGCTGTCATTTGGCCAGAGGCGGGGTCACACCTGTGAGGAAACAGCACTAACCACTTGCGGCCCACTGCCACTCCAAAATACTTTACTTAGACGTTTGGAATTCAGAAATGTATGTGCACTTCTTTCTTCTGTCCCTGCTCTGCTCTGCTTGTGTGTTCCTACCAAGGGCAAGTTTTCATATTTGTCCCAAAATATTATGATATGATAGATATTCCATGTTTTTTCACTTTAATATTCTATTTTTTCCCAACCTTAACTTAACAATCACGGCTCAAAGTTTGAAAAAAATAGAAAGACTTGCCTGGGAAATGTTGGGATTCAACCCTCACTGGTCCAGACTTGGGGGCGGCTGGGTTTTATTCACTGTAAGATGTGACAGGTTGTAAGTCAGCAGGATGTGACAGCAGCACAGCGGAGGGTCAGGCGGCAGTAAGGAGCCGTTTAATTTCAGATCCGTGGCCTTCTGTCACACAAATCACACACAGACCATCAACAAGGGACTGAATCGAAAAAGAAAACACTTTTTACCCAGATACTGTGGTGAAATACAAAAGGACTGTATCGGGGTCAGTGTTCATGAGAAGAGTTTTTATTTTCATGGATAAGTGACTTAAAAAGTGTGTTAATTCGCCTTACAGCAAGCAGATAAAGGTTTCTGCAGTGTTTGCAAGACAAATACTTTAAAGGAAGGAATGTGTGACTTTTTGATCAGTAGATAAGCAGCATGAATCCAGCAAGGTGGATTTATTTTTATTTTAAGGGTTAGATGACTTTCTGCACCTGGTAAAGATGCTAAAAATGACACAACGATGACACAGACAGTTACGCAATCTTAAGTGATGGATTTTCACTCTGCATCTTGCTCGGTCGCTCTCTCTCTCTCTTTTTGTCTTCTTAGCTGCATCCGTCAGCGTCCTTGTTGGTCTCTTAGCCTCAGCCGTTGAATCAAACAGAAGCGAGACGGGCTAGTTGTGTAGTGCTGTAAACCCTAGAGAACCATGGTCTGCCAAACGTGCATATAAGCAGGTGATGAGGGTGCTCTGTGGACATGGGAGAGATGCTATCCTGCCTGTTTCGACTTTGAAACTACTATTTTAAGATGGAAAAGTTACATATTGTTGATAAAAGTGAGTATACAGGTGTTCATGGAAGAGCTGACTCTGCAGATTCTGCTGACTCCAATATTTCAGTTTTGATCAAAGTGTTGAAATGCCCAAATGAAATTGGTATTCATATTGAGCTAAATGTGGCTGAAAAAGAAACCCATAACTGTCGGCTGCGACCTTGAAATGACACATAAGATCAACACGAGTCAACTTGTTTTATTTCTGTGGCTTTAAGTCACCCTCTCCCCCCTCTCTTTTCCCTTTCTGATCACTGCTGCCTGCTCAAAAAATATGAAATATCTGAGAACACATGTATCAGCTGCCTATGAGACACACTTTAATGCTACAAACCTGGCACACACCCAGAGTCTATATAAGCTCAGTTTGACGTCTGCAGGCGACGTTGGGCTGTATTTCACACTCGAGTTTGGCTGCTGTCTTCTGAGGCTTTCACAACAAACTGAATGTGTCAGAGCTGATGAAGCTGCACGGCTCTTCACTCTGTGTTCTCGTGCAAACCGAGCATTTTAACAGCAATCTGAATATAACTATCACCTCTTAACTGTGGTAATCTAAGCAGAACTGTTCATTATAATAATGCACACTCAGCAGTTTTTTTTTTCCCCCGGACAAGTAGATTTTGTGCCATGAGGCCATAATTTCACTCTTGCAGAGAAAATCATGCATTAAGTATCTCTAAATATATAAAAAATGTAATTAGTTTGATATAATCTCACAAATCTGCATGCATCTGCAAAATCTGCATCTGCAAAATCTGCATACATTTACTGCAGCTGGAGATGTTTCTTATATTTTGTGCGTTTATAAATGTGAAAATGTTTGCACTAGCTAAGCCTCAAAATGAACAATTCAAAAGGCTAAATTCAATCTTTTGCCAAATGTTATTCACATTCACATGTGTCGCTGCTCGGTCCAGTCCAGTGGAAGACGGATGATACATTTATTTCCAACAGCTGAGAGTATATTTGTTGACAAATTCAACAAAATAAATGAATAATGACATTTTAGCTTAAATTTGAGTCAATCTCTCAGAACATAGAAGACATGCTCTTAAAATGACAGATCTCCTAAATTTTCCAATGATTTAAAGATGCAGTATGTAGATTCTGCCACCAGGGGGCTCTCAATCAAAACAATAACAAAAGATGAGGCTGAGGCTGGCGGGGAATCATGGGAGTTCTCTTTGCCACTCCTACCCCCCCACCGCCGATGAAAAATGAACTTGCGACGCTGAGTTACAAGCAAAATGAACCGAATCCAAAATTACAGTCGACTCCTGAAAGTGTCTTTAGGCCCAACAGAACTCTGAACAAAATCCTTTCCTCGTGTTGCCGTGGTAACGACTTGTAATCAAATCTTTAAATCATACCCTGCTGGATGGTCTATTGTTCTCTGAATGAAGACGTGATTAACAAAATGAACAACGTGCTGCACTGAAGAAGACACAGAACTACAGATTGAGACCAGATAATAAATCAAGTGTGAAGTAGGCTAATTATTATTATTATTATCAAGTCGCCCCCTGCTGGTGATTTGAAAGAATGCTGTTTTAATCCACTTCCTAATTGGCTTCACTTTAAAAAAGAGAGTAAATCCACATCTTAAGTTCATCCTAGGCTCTGTCCAGAGAGAGCACATTTCATCTACAGACACATGTAGAGCTCACCGCTTGAGGCTTTATTTTTTTAACCCCATGGACTCAAAGTTACTGTTTCAAAGTCTTCACGCCTAAAAAAAAAAAAGATTTGTCTTTAAAGCTCGATTCTCAAGTGATTCGTTTGATGTCATCCTTCCTCTCATCAGACTCTCTCGAGCCGACCTACCAGCAGCTCCAGAAGATGAAGCTGGATAAAAGCCCGTTCGTGGTCGTCTCCGTCATCGGCCAGGAGCTGCTGACTCACAGTTTCCACGGCGCCTCCGTCGTCGTGCTGGAGGCGGGACTTAAGATCGGCACGTGCTCCCTAAAGCTGCGCGGATCCGTCTTCTCCGCCCTAAGCTCCGCCTACTGGTCCCTGGGAAACACCGAGAAGAGTATGGCGTACATGCAGCAGGACCTGGAGGTGACCAAGACTTTAGGTAAGGGGAAGGAGGAGAAAAGAGAGCGGACAGCAACGGTGATGTGAAGCAGTCTTAATGAATGTCTCGCCCACAGGTGATCAGTCAGGTGAATGCAGAGCTCATGGGAACCTTGGCTCCGCCCTCTTCTCTAAAGGAAGTTACAGAGAAGCTCTGGCCAATCACAGAAACCAGCTGGTGCTAGCTATGAAGCTCAAGGACAGAGAGGTACGTTTGCATGTACTTTTATAAAAATGCTTTTTAATCGATTTTTTTGGAGCAGAGTGTTCCACTTTTTAAGGTTTTTGTTTTGCAAGTTTGCATGTTTGACATACATGCACATGAACTATACAGTAGGTAAAGAATTCCAGCATTTTTCCTAAAATAATGTACATTAGAAGTATAGTGTCAAAAGATCCAGATCCAAGTGGTCACATGTTGGGTTTCTGTATAAAACCCCTGCATGGGAGGTTTTATTTTTTAAATCACAGTCCAGTTTTGGGAAAAAAGCATTTTTATTGTCTTCATTTTACACACTTACTTAATGCCACAAAAATGTTATAGCCAATGTTTCGACCAAAGTTTCTCTTTGTCATCTTCCTCTTTTCGGGGGAAAGACGATGAAGCATGAGCTCAGTGAATGATTTCTGAATCCTTTTAAGAGCATATAAAGAATAACAAAGGCTTCGTCTTGGATTTGGAGCAGGGGCGCTGGAAGTCGATCTCAGTTGGGGATGCTTAGAGAAGTCATTCAATGTGATGATGTCATTTAAAAACAAAATTGAAAGAACCTGAATTTAACCAGGAAAGACACTCATTGAGATTAAAACTCTCTTTTTTTAAGAGTGTCCTTTCCGAGAAACACAGCAGCACAATTTACAGAGTGTCACACAAACAACGAGCAGCTAAACATACAAATACAAAACAATACATCAGACATTAAAAGACACAAATAACAAATTTAAACAGCACATTTTTCAGTCAAGATCTCCCTCTTTTAAAGCGTCCAATGAGAGGAAGCAGCTCCTACGTTCTGGAGTGTGAGTGTGTGAACGGCAGCTCGTACCATTTTTTAAAACATTTCACACTTCGACAGACTGTTCCGGCCTCCTTAACGTACCGTCAAGTTAACCAAAAACGGCTCAGAAATACGAGACCAAAACATGCAAAAAGGGGACGCCACACAATATACTCCATATTTATCTCATTTCTCGTTGTTTATCATTTATGTATGTTTTCTCTGCATCATTGTAAATGAGGGTCGCCCTCAATGATCTCTCCGAGAACTTAAGATGAGATGAGATGAGATTCAACTTTATTGTCATTACACATATACAAGTATAGAGTAACGAAATGAGGTTTGGCATCTCACCAGAAGTGCAAATAAGCAGAAAGTGCAAGAGTCTGTGCTATGTACAGTAATTACAAAATTTACAGATGTAGACTAAAAAAAGTGAATTATTAGGTATATCTGGATGGCTGGATCAATGGGATGCTATAAATATAAATAAATGCTATAAATATAAGTGTATTCTTAAGATTATAATATACAGATTAAGGTGCAGTGAGCATGCTATATTAGTTTACAGATAATATAAGAATATGGACATAATATGAACATACTATAATACAATAATACAGGTGGATGAGTGATGTGTGTGTGTGACCAGGAGGAGTGGTGGGTAAAAGATATCGAGTTTTAAACCCCAAGCTTTATCTAAATAAGCTCCACCCCTCAGGAAATATTATAATTTAACAAACCTAATAAACTACCTAACAACCTAACCTACTGAAACTCAAACAATGGAGAATAGGACTACCGGTGTCTCCAGCTCAAACTAAAATAACCAAACCCAGGAATGTGGACATGCATGGGGGGAACATTTAAACGACAAAAGAAACGAGCACCTCTCACCACGCCGCGGCCCAGAACGTGTGTGTGTGTCTGTCTGCCCCGTCTCTCCCATACCCGGCTCCTCTAAACCCCCCTCCTCCTCCGCCTCCCTGAGCGCAACATTGCTCTCAGGTGTATAACAGGTAGAGGGAGGAGGGAGACCAGAAAAGGAGAGAGAGAACCAGGGCCGCACGTAACACAGACCACAAACTTCACACAGAAAATTCACACAGTTTATAATTAACAGAGCTGAGAGATGACGTTCATTCTACTTCGTTGACTTTTGATCACAGCTGCCAGGATAATGAACCTCATATTGCATGCTGGGTAATATAATCTGATGTAAGCAGTGGCACTGAGGGAATACAATCAACACCACGGTTATACATACATACAATCAACACTTTATTATTATTATTATTATTAAGGTATTTTTAAGTCGTTAACAAAGCTTATTTAGTTCCACTTGCACATTGGTTTGTCGTGTAAATTTGCAGGATTTACCCACTTTATAATAATCTCTGAAGCTGCCTGATAGAAAATTAAAAATTTAAAAACAAATTAAATTAAAAACACTCAAAGAAAACACAAAAAAAGCTCTTTATGAAAATAAAAACATAAAGCAGCGACATCACGGCTCCTCCAGATGATCACAGCTCGTTTGGATCCTCTCAGTGATTCCTAACCGCTCCCTCCGTCTCTCTGAGTTATCTGAAAACAGTTTTTCTTTTCGGTCGCCTCGGGGGAAGAAGCTAAACTCAGCGTCTTTCTTCTCAAACTCTTTGGACAGTTGTGAAAAGTGTCTTTAATTAGATCGCTGCTGCAGATTATTCCTTGGCCCCTTTATGTCTCCAGACACAAAGTAGAGCTGTCAGCTTGTGTGTGTGTGTGTGTGTGTGTGTGTGTGTGTGTGTGTGTGTGTGTGCGTGCCAGCATCGACACGCTGTAAATAAACCGCACGGTGTCATGGCAGATCCAATTACGTCTCAATGGATTTAATATTTTCTTTAATCTGGTGATTCTGTGCCCGTGGCGCGTCTCGCAGAATATTTTTATTGTCTCTTTAATATTTTACAAGAAAAATAATCAATTCAACATTTTGTGTGTTAATCCATAATGTTTGACTCTGAGGCTGTTCATGGACTCATTTCTCTCATGTAACATGTCGATAGTTTCATGTTTGCTTCAGTCTGTTGGGTTTGTACAGAAAGTAAATGACATCACGATGCGGTTTAATATGACTAAGAACACGGGGAGGAAAGGTGGATGACAGGTTGCTCAATGTGGTCAAAGGACAGGTGATGTAAAAAATGTGTTGGGAGTTTGTGTGAAAACAGGATACACACGATAAGAGGGAAACCAGGCAAACCTCCACAACTGAAAACTGAAACAATTAAGGAAATACTTCAAACTAGAGCTGTCATCAATTAAAACCAGTTTTGTCCCTTCTTGCTCACCGTCCTCAGTGTCTCCCTGTAGTCTCAGTGATGTAAAAGAAGGACACTGCTGCATCTTTGAACGTCTCATTTCACTTCAACAAACTCTCAGACAGCTCAGCTGACGAGTCCAAAGTAATATCCACCTCATGACATCACACATTGACCTTATGACATCACACATTGACCTTTGTTACCGTTCCTTTTGAGCTGTTTGACGTCAGTTTGTGATCGGTGACCACTTCCTGTTTCTCCCTGAAAATCAGTGAGATTAACAAGAATCTGGTGTGTGTGTGTGTGTGTGTGTGTGTGTGTGTGTGTGTGTGTGTGTGTGTGTGTGTGTGTGTAGATGTGTTTTTTCACCATGTTTGTCTGTTTTGGCACGTGGTTTAATGTAGGCCTCTGACTTGCCATAAAAGTTTTTCACGCACACACACACACACACACACACACACACACACACACACACACACACACACACACACACACACACACACACACACACACACACCGTCTAGTTTGTCATGAATCCTGTTCACCCCGTAGCTCAGGATCGAAACCAGACGGAAGAGTTTCTTCTTCATCTGTTTTCCGTGTTTGACTTGGAGCAGTCAACACCCACACACACACACACACACACACACACACACACACACACACACACACACACACACACACACACACACACACACACACACACACACACACACACAGTCGTCTCTCTGGGTTGTTGACAGACGATTATTGAGCTTCTCCTCCGCAGGTGAGCACCCTGCAGGCGACTGAAACATGGACATCAACACAAATCCATATCTCCCACCGTGTGTTTGCCTTGCAATGTTACAAACAATTGTTTGTTTGCGTCTCTCCAAACAAACACACAACGTGCAGAGAGATGATGTGCAACCTACAGGGACGGACACAGAAAGGAAAACACCACACCGAGTTTGCAATAGTGTTTAAAAAAACTCAACAGGTGTTTCATCATTTACAATCATCATCAGTCTTTAAAGTTCTCTAACAAGCAGAAATATGCATCACAGTATTTTTAATTCTTTGCATTTTGCCAATAAAACAAACCTTTAGGCTACACCTAATGGAAGCAGCATTGTAAGACCCTCAGACCCCGGCTGCATGCAGAGTTTAGACGTCTTTAAAAAAAAGCTGTGGGCACTAAAATAATAATATAATAATAATAATAGTTAAAAAGTTTAAAGTTTATTTATAAAGCACTTATCAAAACCAACGTCACAAAGTGCTTCACAGAAAAAAGAAAAATCCTAACAGTCAAATACAAAACAATTAAAATCCTTTTAAAAGAAGCATGAAAAATAAAACAACAGTGCAGCAATCATCCAATTAACAGAGAAAGGAGACAAAGATTAGCTAAAGTTAACAGTAAAAGAAATAAAACATCATGGACTGTTTGTCTTTGTGTCTCTTATCTCACTCATGTCCATTTTATTTGTATTTTTTTATTTCACCAGGTAATTAACCCATTGACATCAAGACCTCTTTTCATAATTGTGACCTGGTCAAGAGGGCAGCAGCAGCACACGTCATGATAAATAGGACATGATTAAGAAACATTTTACAAACATTAGGTTAAGAGCAGATAAAGTGCAGAGTCAAGATCACAGATTACAATTCAGAAACACTTCAGTCTCCCGTTTGTTTGGTCTTTTAAGTTAGAGCTAAAGTCTTCAAGTGAAATGAGATCTGCCCGTTTAAAGTCCATCATGATGACATCCATGGAGATTATGTTTCATACATGTGTATTTAAGTCTTTGTGCTCTTTGTATGATGTGTAGTGCCTGTATGCCCCTCTGGGACAATAAAGATTTTCCAATCCAATTATAAATTTTTTAGGTTTTTAGAGTTCTTTTCCTTTTCTTATAAGATAAACTAGCACAAAGTTAAAGTTTCTTACGGTTTATTTCAGTAAAAGTAGCTCAACCCCACTGTAGAAAACTTGTGATCAATCAGAGTTGCTGCTTCTAGAAAATGTTTATTGATGGAAACACATTTATTTGTATTATTTTTATAATAACTTAAGAAACTTGTGCAACTAATAATGAGGTTAAATTTGGAATAATGTTTGGAGTTTTTCCCTCTGAGGTTAAACAAGTAGCTTGTTATCATAAGCCACATATAACTCTCCTTCTGCGTTCATTTGTTTGCATTTCTCTTCTCCTTCACGTAAACTTTCCTTCATCTTTGTCCTTCTAATTTACTTTTTTTATTATATTTTTACTCCAGGATCTGAACATTATTATTGGGAATAATGAAAAAAAAAAATGCAAAACAGAAAACCCAAGCAGCATCCTCCAAAAACAAAGAAAATGCAGAAAAAACTGCAGTTCCATGAGTGTCCACTAGTGGCAGGCTCGAAAGGACCTGGAAGTCCAATAAACACCCTTTATTAAAATGTCAACTGTGCAAATGTTATTTAACTCATTCGTTTAGATTTTATGAAAGATAAGAGTTCATCATAATTGAGGGCGTGGCTGATCTGGATGACCACCTGGCCGTTTCCACAAAGGCTCCAGTAGATGTCGCCCTTGAGCAGCAGTATTAAACCAAAACAAACTGCTGCTCTCCTCCTCCAACCCCCCTCCCCTTGCTTTTGCAAGAAGGACTAATCAAATGGAACACATCATAATTAAGCACCATTAAACACAAGCGGCGTACAAAATTGTCCTGTGCTCGAGCTGCAATCACCTGTGTCCTGCATTGCTGTATTAGCATGCTAATGTTAGCGCTCTTTAGTTAGCTCTTGGCTTCACATTGCACATAAATTAACACAGAATGAGCGTGATCTAAACACTCTTACTAACATCCAAATAATCAGTGAGTATGTTCTTCTTCTTCTCTCTAGTTCTTGACTAAAACAGCTTTTATACACAAGGGGAGGAGCCGGCCGTCCCGTCCATGTAAACACGGCTCTGACAACAACACAGCCAGCGGGACTCGAGCTTCTCCCTCATTGTAGACAGTCAGGACTCAGAGACACATTTACACAGGACAGACTGGATTTCTGATATATTTATGTGTATCATGTCACTCATTCTTCCTTTAGAGAAAAATATTTGAAGCAGTTTGAAGGAGCATTAGGATGCAAGTTTATTTCGGGTCATAAAAGTTGAGCGTCGTCCCTCACATTTCAGTCGAGGTAGCGCTTCAGTAAAGGCTCCAAATCAATCTGAACTTTGTGTGTCTTTGTAATTTCTGCATGTTCGGACAGATTGAGTTTGCTCAATCAGACCGACCATTAACCATCAAGTGAACTCGGATATTTCATTTCCCTCTTGACACAATCAGCCGAGCACACTTCTTCTTCTTCTGTCCCACGCTGAGGGTTAAAAGCTCGTTTTGTTTTTGTGGGGGGTGATCGAGCGTCCCCTTTTTAAAACCTCCTGCGTCTCTTTGCAGGCTGGTTTATGGAGCAGAAGATGCACTGCCACTGTTAATCTCCCTCTGTCTATATTCATCCCTCCTCTTCTATTTTCATTCATTAGATTTCGAGATCCGTCTCTTACCTCCTACCAGGTATCGCCTCTTTTCACCCTCCTAATGAGATTTCCTGCAGCTTATATAAAAATACGACATAATGACGGGGTTGCATATTGACTTGCTTTGATTTTATTTCAGAATCAGAAGGGTTGTCAGTCCCTCCATCTTTTTCATATAACAGAAATAAGCACACACACACACACACACACACACACACACACACACACACACACGTACGTAGCGCAGCAGCAGCTCACAGTCCCAGACACAACATGATTGGATTTTTTTTGGTGTGTTTTCTGGCGTGCGAGGGGAAACATTGTGTCCTTGAGGGAAATCAAACATTTCGTCTGGCCGGTCGACTGTACACACAAACACACACACACACACACACACACAAGACGCCTTCTCGTCATTTATTAAATCTCCCTCTCCTGCCTCTGAGATGTGTCAACTGGATTTTATGTGTTTGCACTCATCACTTCAGTGGGAATTGGGATTTCAGGGGATGAGCTCAGTCTACCATCGACAACACACACAACACACACACACACAACACAGACAGACACACACACACACAGACATGAAGAGGAATGAAAGGTGCAGGGTTTCTGGGTGTTAATTAGAGGAGGGAAATTTCACTAAAGGTCACTTTAGCTGTTCAGTGACATTTTTTAGCATTTTAAGTCCCTGATTTAACAGAGGGACTGTACTTGTTTTTTTTTCAATCCACAGGTATTTGAGCCAAAGTATCAGCAGAGCAGACGATCAGTTCCTCTCTAACTAGAGAGTTTTTAATGGGAGAAACTAAGGCAAGGCAAGGCACGTTTATTTCTAGAGCACATTTCAGAAACAAGGCGATTCACCAAAAGCATCGCGACAAATAAACATTAAAATACAAGATTTCAAAATCACTTAAACAACAATGAACCATCACAGAGAAGATTCAAGATAGAAACATATTTTGTTGGGTGTGTCAATAAAATTGAACAATTACTAGAAGTAATCAGCATGCCCTGAAGTCGCTGAGAGTCTCTCTGTCTCACCGGACACAGATTCACCTGCTGCTCTCCTCTAATCCAAATGTATTTTGTTGAACAATGCACCTCGGAACGTCTTCCCCGAGGGTTTAGGCTCACAGTTTTCTCCGTCTGTGTCGAGTCACAGGTCACAGGCTGGCTCAAAACATCCAGATGTAGATCCTCCCACCGCAGGAGCACCTTACACAGTCCAACTCTCAACAATTGAAACTTCAGTGGCCTTCATTTTTTATCTTTTTTATTTGAGGGCTTTTTATGCATTTTATTGTAGAGATGGGACAGTGGATAGAGTCCGAAGTCAGGGAAAGAGAGAGAAAGTGGGGAATGACATGCAAGCCAGGAGCCACAGGTCGGATTGAAACCTTGAGCAACCAAGGTCGGTTGCTCGCTTTGAGGACTATAGCCTCGGTAAATGGGGCACGCGCACCAACCATTAGGCCACCAGGGCCCAAGAATGCCTAGAATCTTTGGTAATAATTCATTAAATTAAAATTACCTGAAATAAAATGAGAGGCCATCAAAATTAGATTTGCACATATCAACATAAATGGTGAAAACACATTTACTGGATATTCAACGGCCTGTAGATAAAACCTCCAAATTCCTCCAACTATACTTTAGGGCTTCAGTGTCTGCACTCCAGCCGCTCTCCCTTAAAGGCGTCGCGCTGACCGACATCTCTTGTGGCTAATACATACAGTATGTAGTGACAAGTTCCTCAAGTTCCCCAACTGTCCCTTTAAGATATCAGAACTTTTTCTAAGATGAAGGATCCTAACACTTCTTCAGCACTGGGAGTTTATGACCTTTATCTGCAGTTTTATTTGTCTTGTTTTATTTGCATGAAGATTCACAGAAACGTCCACAACCTGGAGACTCGCTCCTAACATTTCTGCAGAATGACACACTTGTCTGAATCAGAGAGAAACACAAGAGTGTTTAGGGAGTTCAGTGACTAACAAACATGCTAATATCATCCTGTTAAATATTTCATAACTCCTTTGACTTTTCTTTGTCAGGTTTTTTTTAAACTCGCGAACATTTCTTTAGGGTCTCTGTCTTATTCTTTAAAAAGGTCAACTTCACATTTTGTAATTTATGAGTCTGCATTGTTCCACTGCTGAACCCCAAGGTGTGACTGCCTGATATCATTCAGCAGGGAGTTTCTAAACATCAGGACGGGGTTTGTTTTTTGATGCATTTTACTGTGTGTGCATAATATATCTATCGAATTATTTCAAAGGTTCTATCTATCATATTTCCTGAATACAGTTTGATTGTTGTGTGCTTTGTGGTACCCTATACGGCTGTGATATCTATGTGTGCAACACGTCTCTAGATATCTTTAAGCAGTGGAGTCGTGTCTCAGAAATGTGTGATTACAAATCTATTTGTTCTCATCTTCAGAGACTCAGCAGCACAAAGAGATAAATGGGCAACATGTCAATACGGACCGTGGTGCTTTTGTCTCCATTTTTCTGCTTAATTTGAAACTGACTTCCTGACGAATATTTCCCACGACGCCTCTGATTGAACGCAGATCAATACCAATAACCTGAAGATTAGTGCTGCAAATGAGTCCTGCTGGTTTGAAACGACTAAAGCCAGAGCAGGACTGGAGCGAGCTCTTCTCATTTATCTCTCGTGTCTAATCAAGAGTTTGTGTTTGATCGTCTCTGCTGGGCTCCAGGTATTAAACTAAAGGTGTGTGTGTGTGTGTGTTTGTGTGATTTCCAGGCGGCGTCTGACGCTCTCAGCAGTCTGGGTCATGTGTACACGGCGATCGGCGACTACCCCAACGCGTTGGCGAGTCACAAACAGTGTGTGCTGCTGGCTCGACAGCGACAGTGTCAGCTGTCTGAAGCCCGCCAGCTGGGGAACATGGGCGCCGTGTACACCGCGCTGGGAGACTTCACCAACGCTGTGCAGTGCCACGAGCAGCACCTCGACATCTCGAAGGTAACCCCTCCTCCCCCCTCCCCCTACACAGAACTCTCAGGTCATCAGACCAGCTGCTGGAGGGATGTTCCTCTGACGTGTCTGGAGGGAAAGTGTGATCGTGCATTTTCTGTAGCTGCCTTGAAGATTCTGGAATAATCTTCCTCTCAGTATGAAGTGTTCCCCTTCTTTAGGCGTTTTTAAAACCAGACTGAAGACACGACAAGTCATGATCTCTAATGTTCCAAATGAGGGGAGAAACTTTGCATCTTCTCAAACTTTTCAGGCAGTTTATTGTCTTTAGAAAAAAACACTAATATGTGTCTCTCGTCAGTCTACAAACCCCCCAATGATGAGAAAAGTCCATCCTCTCCGTCTTTTCCCTGTTCCACTTGTCAGAAAATGTGTGCTCAAACAGGCCGTTTGGAGATTTTCCCTTCATGACATCACAAAGGGCAGTAGCCCCTCCCCCAGGTGGGTGACACTCCCACAGCTAGGTGTTTGTTCTGCCCTCTGAGTCTGCCTTCTCACCGTAAACAATAGGACATGGAGCGAGAAAGCACCGAATACACCCAAGCCCTTCCAGAGAGGGGGCGTGGTCAGACACAGCTCATTTACATATTTAAAGGTACAGACACAGAAACAGCCTGTTCTGAGCAGGGCTGAAATAGAGGGGTTTATAGGCATGATCAAATACAGGATCAGAGTGGATTTAGTACAAGAAACTTCAGGGACATGTTTGAGGGGAGCTCTGAGACTTGTAAATACAGAGAGTGACAAAATGTGGATGTTTTTTTAAACCATAAAGCCTTTTCTCGACTGATTTAATCATTCATCATATGTCTGCCTGTTTTTAAAAAAAGCCATAAATTCATTGAGAATATTTTGTTTCTAGCAGTCTAAGAATGGAGACCCGTTAGACATCACCATCTATAAGTTCTGATTGAATTAAAAGCCATCAGCTACATCCAGTAATGAGATTTAGGATAATTATGGAGCAAAATGTTATTTATGTTTCAAGATGATAAATTGAAACAGGAGAGCTGTTTTTTGTTTTTTTTTAAACCCCTGAATGTCTGAATCAGTAATTCTCATAATACTGTGCTGTGTTCTCTTCCACATCCATCATGCGGTCTTTTATAACAGATTTATTGCAGATTTCCTCAGAACATCATGTGTATTCAGGGCACTGGCTGTTGAGCGTGTAAATATTTGAAGCTCCTCGTGCAAATGTTACACGAGCAAACACAACACAAGACAATAATCTGAGCTCATTTCACTTTTTACGTCTTTTATTATGAATGGTAAGCTATTCCGCCCACTGGAGCCAAAAACCATCACAGTCCTTGCAGTTCTGTCTTTGAAAACAAACAAATTGACCATCTGTTGACTGTTAGAAGTGCACCAGAATAAGGGTTACTTTATTAAAACCCTCTGACTACCAGAAGATTTGAAAGTTGTTTTGTTTTGACATGCACTTTGTCTCTCTTTGGTTGAAAATGTTGGAGCTTTTAGCTCCTTGTTTCAACACTGAAAATCTGCTTTATTTTAGAGTTTTGAGTTTTGCAATCGTTTGTCAAGAGTTAGGATTTTTTATTTCAACCTCAATGTCTTTAAAAAGTTTGTTTGTTGAGGTCCTGATGCACTAAACTTGTTTTTATTTGCAGTATTTGAAGCCATGTGTGCAGACTGATGGAGACATCTTTTTTTTGGAGAGAAAAATCACATTTTTTAGGACATATATCAGAATTTGTAGGATTGCAGAAGCTGCAGTGTAACAGCTACAATTGTTTTTCTGAGTACTTATGACATTTTTCCTTTGCAGACTTTGGAGAACCGTCGCGAGGAGGCACGAGCGTACAGTAACCTTGGCAGTGCGTATCACTCTCAGCGGGACTTTGACAAGGCGATATCGTACCACACACGGGTTCTGGAGCTGGCACAGGAGCAGGGAGACCGAGCCATCGAGATGAGGGCGTACGCTGGTCTGGGGCACGCTGCCAGATGCATGCAGGTAAGGTTTAAGACCGGAGGTATGCTTGCTTTTAACTAAGCGTTCATGTGCGCATGAAGGCTGCCCTGGATTCACTGCATCTGTTTGGTGCATAGACTGTGACCTCCTAAAAAATAAAAGGGACATAGTCAAAACATGCAGTACATGCACATGAACAGTAGGGGCAGTGTGCTGCAGAAAGTGTTGAAGACAAACTAATAGACCAAGTCTGCAGAACTGTACGATTGGTCATTGCCTCTGCACAGCAACAAACCTGCTGACAAAGTAGCCAGCAACAGATAAGTTTCATCATAGAAGTCGACGTGGAAACCTGCAAAATTAAATGGAAACAAACCCAGAAATTTTACATCAGTGCACGATGGAAAAAGCGCTTCATAGACTCTTTAAAACTATTTATTCTCAGACCTACTGGTTGAGAACCATTGCTCTAGAGGTATCGTTCAGTGACATGCATAGCGCATAGCCAGGTGTGTGAACAGTTAACGTTCAGGACGCAGCACATCGTGTACACAAGGTTGAAAGGCGACTATATCTCCGGCCTAGGATCTGGGTAACAGAAACCCTAAATTACTGAGAGGTGTTGTGTTCACTTTACTCCATGTGCTGTTAATTTTATGATGACATAAAATACCCTGTGATCTTCAGGACCTGGAGCGGGCGCGTCAGTACCACCAACACCAGCTAGAACTGGCCCAGGAGCTGCAGGACAGAGCCGCTCAGGGCCGAGCCTCTTCCAACCTGGGTACGTTTAAATATGATGATTTTTTTTGGAGAGTGTTAACAACGCCTGGATCCTTTGACACAAAGTGAATGGGAGTTTAACTTTATACTTTAGACTCCTGTAGAAATGAATGCTGTTCTATGATTATTTAACAGTATGTAACAAGCTAACATGAATCTGTTAACTAACCACAACACATTCACATGACTGTTAAGACATCTTTATTGTCACTGTACAAGTCCAAAAAATACAGTGGAGAGCTCCAAGTTGCAGCGTCTGTGCACGCCGCCATCTTGGAATAAGAGATTAAAGATTCATGGTCCTCTCAGTTCAGCTTAACACTGATTATTGTCCTTGTAACTTCACTTGAAACGTCGATCAAACCTGACCAAAGAGGACGATCAGGGTGATAATAGAAAAGGAGTAACTAAGGCTGTGAAGGATTCACTTTACTTAAAGATGGACGCCAACAAACCTCCATGCGATTCTGACATCTTGAACATTTTAGAGTCTGAGCAGCAGGGATCGTCTGGGGGAGCTGTGGTGTTGATGTTGTGCCTCTTCTGCTAAACACAACAAATTTAACTTACTGATAAAACATCAAAGATCCCTCAGGTGGGTACAGTCCGCATCAGAACGGATTCTTGTCGTAGTTTGGAAGCCATCCCCTCTGGCCTCATCAGTGCATCATGTCAGGGTCTGTCAAAGGAGTTTCTTTTTTTGGCTTCACTTTTGTACAACAGAACAAGACGGAGACATGTTGTCCATATTTATATACATATTATGATTTAAACTAAACTTCTCAGGAAAGTAAATCAGTGTGATTGGAATCAGTTATGATGACAGAAACTTTGTTTTAGAAAATGTTGTAAGATGTGTTTTTTTGATTATATAGTTTGACTCCTGTCCCATCTGTTAACATGGAGGGGGCGGAGCTTATTACTGAATCTTCCAGTTAGGGGGGCCTCAAAATGTTTTGGCTTCAGTTTAAGGAGCTTTCATGTCACCACTTAAAAGAGTCAATGATATGAAGGAAGAATGAAAGAAGACATTATGAGCATGACGGTGTAAAAAAAGTCAGTGTGCACTGTGTTCAGACGACAACAAGTAGGAGGGTGGCACTTTCCTTCTTCTTCTTTGCATTGCAGAGGAGGACATGCATCTCAAATAAAAGCTAAGTTAGAGGGTCTGCTGTGTGAAGAAGGAACGACTTGAGAGTGTACCACACTCTGCGTTTAAATTACAGGTTCATATTCAGTTCAAACCACGATCTGAGCTCACAGTGCGCCCGTGTTGTTTGAGTCGTTTAATGAAAATGCAGCACGAGGACAGAAATAAACCACAGACAGTGTCACTTTAATACACACCACACGGGACAGCAAGCATGTGCACTTTAAAGTTTATCACAGACGATATGCAAATCGGGAACATTTGAGCAAGTTTTGAAAACTTTTGCAGCAAACTTTGTCATTCCCGGTTTTGATTTCATCACTAGAATCTGTCCAAACGGTTTCCTCTGACTGCTGAAGTAACGATGAGAGGGAAATTTTGATTTATTTATCTGTGTCTGCTTCTGTTTTACAATTATCAGCCTGAGATCAAATGATCCAGGCGTTAAAAGACAGCAGGGAATGACTCATCTGTCTTGTTTGCTTTTTGTTTGTTTTTTCCCTGACTTTTGCCTCGCAGGTTAAACTCGGACTGTCTTTTATTTCTGTCCATGTCCAAATGTTTCATCAAACGAATATCTAAAAAAATTAAGTTTAAGAGAGGCTGGAAATAGCCCTCACTTTCTCCAAACTCTTTTGAATTATTTCATCCCGCACTTCTCTTTGCAGACTTGAAAGAAAGCACCAGGAAGTCTTTGATTCTATTCGGAGTGAAATTCATTTTTTAAAAGAAAAAAGCAGACGATGATGTGATGCAATTTTAGATAAAAGGACGAACACACACTTCACAGTTTTTTTTTCCTTTAGTAAATTAAAGAAGCAGAAGTCCTTTTTTTATTCTTCTATCTGATGGAAATGTTCAGCTGTTTCTTTTTGTGAACCGTTGACTTCGCTCTGTCACTGCTGTCGACACACTCAATAAACTCGATACACTGACTGGACTCAGGTCCTGAACCCGACTCACTCAGTCTGCATCGATCAGCTGCATCCAGTCCTCAGACATTAGACTCTTCGTTTGGTGCATTTGAGCGGTGGTGAAAAGTACAGTCAGGCACAGATAAGTATAGTTTTAAAGGTTTGGTTTTTTTGGAGCTTTTTCCACCTTTATTTTAGAGACAGGACAGTGGAGTCAGAAATGGACCATAACCTCCACACATGGGGCGCTCGCCCTAACCAAAAGGCTACCGGGGCCCCCACAGTTTTTAGGAACTTTCATGGAAGTCATTCCTTTTAATCCACCTCTTTACTCATATTCTGCTTCACATCAGAGAGAATTTTTAGGAATATACTTCTGCACATGCTTAATAGTTTTAGTGGCTACTTACTATACAGATGTTATGATTACATTTTATTCGGGCTGTCAAACAATTACATTTATAAATCACGATTAATCGCCAAATTTCAATATAGCTTGATAGTTAGAAATTCAATTATTTTGCATTTAAAAATAAAAATTGTCAGGCTTTTATTTTGAAATTCTGTCTTAAACTGAGAGTACTTTACTTGCTGTTTGAATTCAACTTTTATTTTGAAATTAAGTAAGAACCTTCTGGTAGATCGAAGGTTAAGACATTAACTTAACCTCGAAAAAAGAGGAACTTGTTACGGATCAGAAACTGACGTCAAACAGCTCAAAGGAACGGTAACAAAGGTCAATGTGTGATGTCATAAGGTCAATGTGTGATGTCATAAGGTGGATATTACTTTGGACTCGTCAGCTGAGCTGTCTGAGAGTTTGTTAAAGTGAAATGAGACATTCAAAGACACAGCAGTGTCCTTCTTTTACATCACTGGGACTACAGGGAGATACTGAGGATGACTATCTACAGTTAGCCTGAAGGGACAAAATAGCATGCGATTAAAACAATTAATGCATATATTTCAGACCTTAATTAATCGTGATTAACTACTTAATGCTGACAGCCCTACATTTTATAAGTTAGAGTCTTACATAAACCATCAGCTAACTTTTTGTGCCTTTCAGTGCAGCCAGTCGTTAGCGGTTAAGGACGTCTGTTTCATGCATTGCCTTCGTTTACAGTCTGACTGGAAACTTGAAAACAGACAGCTGGAGTTGGAGATGAAAGATGACATCAAAGAGCAGATTGTTGGATGCAGCGAAAATCAGGACACCCATGATATCCAAACCTTGTCCCTGTGTACAGATTCTGTGTTTTTATGCAGAATGAGAAACTTTCTCTTTACGTTCCTCATCCTCTCCTTTTAGTTTTTTCTTCCTTCTCCCTATTTTTGTCTCCTTCTCTTCTCCTCTCTGCTTCTCTCCTCTTTTTCCTCTTTACCTTCTATTCTTCTTCGCTAGCCTAGTCCCTTCAAAGTCCATCCTCTCTGTCTTTTCCCTGCTCCACTTGTCAGAAAATGTGTGCTCAAACAGGCCGTTTGGAGATTTTCCCTTTGTGACATCACAAAGGGCAGAAGCCCCTCCCCCAGGTGGGTGACACTCCCACAGCTAGGTGTTTGTTCTGCCCTCTGAGTCTGCCTCTCTCAATAAACAATAGGACATGGAGTGAGAAAGCACCGAGCCACCCAAGCCCTTCCAGAGAGGGGGCGTGGTCAGACACAGTGCATTTACATATTTAAAGGTACAGACACAGAAACAGCCTGTTCTGAGCAGGGCTGAAATAGAGGGGTTTATAGACATGATCAAATACAGGATCAGAGTGGATTTAGAACAAGGAAACTTCACAGACATGATTTGAGGAGCTCTGAGACTTATTAACACTAGTTGAAAAGGAGGAGAATATGTGACATGAGCTTTTATTCCACTGCTCCTTTAAGATTAATTCTAGCCAGAATAAGGGGCCGTATCTTTAAAATGCATCAGTTTCAGTTTTCATACAAATGATGTGATGGTCCTGTTCTGCCGTCACCTTATCTGTCTTCTCATCTGTCTGTATCATCTGCCCACAACAGAGCCTCTCTGACCAATCAACGCTCATGTTTTATTTAAAGGGGTCTAGTTTCTGCGGCCACAGTGATATCTGAGAGCAGGTGAACCTGACTCCTCCGCTGAGTGGACAACAAGCACTCTTTGTGTGTGTGTGTGTGTGTGTGTGTGTGTGTGTGTGTGTGTGTGTGTGTGTGTGTGTGTGTGTGTGTGTGTGTGTGTGTGTGTGTGTGTGTCTGTGTGTGTGTGTGTGTGTGTGTGTGTGTACAGCAATAAACGAGTAACATGAGGACTGCTTCAGTCACTCTGAATACATCCAGCACCGATGTAGCATCCTTGTTTTCGACGTCCTTCTCTGTGTGTTTCCTCACAGTGGAATCTTGTCTTCATTCACCAGGAAAGTATTTTTTCGTTCTGTATCCGAGTTAAGCTCGCAGCGCTGAGAGGATCTTTGATGTGCGACTAAGAGGTTACGGTGAAGTCGGTGACACTGTGCTGACAGACGAGCTGCAGTCTGAGGTGCAGATCAATGATTCACATCATCATTTATGGATGAAACTTTTCTCTCACGCTCGGTGCTGACTCGACAACTCCTCTCTCCTCTTTTGTTTCCTTCTTTCCTCATCCCCTTCACTATTTCCTCCTCCTCTCCTACGTCTTTACTAGCTCCATTATCTCACCTGATTGCTCCCTAATCTCTTGTTGCAGCATCTTTTCTCGTCCCCCTTTCCCTTCTTATCTTGTTTTCTTCCTCATCACTTTTTCCTCTTGACTTCTTTCTTCTATCTCTTGTTTTCTTCCCCTCTCTTGTCTCTCCGTCCTTCTCCTTTCATTTTCAACTCCTTATATCCTCCCATTCCTTCTTTCTCTTCTCATAGTCTACTCCTTTGACCCTCATCCTTTTCGTATCCCTTTCCTTACTTCCCTCCTTTCCTTATTACTTCCCTTTCCTCTCCTTTATTTATGTTCTTCCCTTCCTTCCTCCTCCCTTCCTTTCATTATTTTTTCTTTCATTCTCCTCTCCTCTCCTCTCCTCTCCTCTCCTCTCCTCTCCTCTCCTCTCCTTCCCTCCTCTCCTCTCCTCTCCTCTCCTCTCATCCCCTCCCCTCCTGTTGTTTTTGAAAATTCCTTTCATCTTGTTTCCTTCTCTCCTTTCCTTCTCTCTGTCCTCCCCATACTGCTCCTGCAACCTTGTGTCCTCGTCTCCTTTCCTTCCCTCTTCTCCTTTAAACTCATTTTTTCTTTTACTTTACTTTCTCTATTTGTTTCCTCCTTTTTTTTCTTTCCAAATCTTACTGAATGCATTAACAAATCTTGCAGAATCCTTCAAATAGGTCGACACAAATCATGCACACACTCCAGAAATAAAACCAACCAAGCCTTTCAGACGAAATACTGATGTTGCTATTGTTTGCCATACCTAGTTTAGCTCACTGATGACTGAGCATTTTCTATTCTGTGGTTAAAGGGGGGCGCAGATCACCCATCCCCTCCTCTAATCGCGCTGTGCTGTCTCAGCTGAACACCCCGTCATCAGATCTCACATTATTTTCCACACTTAAATCCTCACAGCTCAAACTGTGCCCCCTTCCCCAATCAGGATATCCCACCATCCTGCAGAATATCTTCAGAAACATGGCCCCCCTTTTACCGCTGTGGAGAAATGTAGGGTATTACCTTCAGGGGGGATTCTGTATCTGTGTGTGTGCACGTGCTGGTGCTCACCCAGTGTGTAAGCAGAGTTTAAGGGGGAGAGGTGTAACAGGAGCCAGCGTTTTCCAGCCAACTCTGCAGGCTTCTCTGTAATCCTCTTAGCAAGAGACCCCGAAGAGCGAGGTTTCCCTTTCCTTATCAGCAACCTCCTCCTTTCCGTCACATAACCCTGCTGGTTCCTATATATCCCATGACAGCCCTAAAACATCATGTGTTGGTGCAAAGTCACTGCACAGTTTTTAAAATATCTCCAAACGTACAGTCCTGTGTGTCATTGTCTCAACCAGGGGCAAATAAACTCTTCATGCATATGCACAACAATCGTGCAAACACCATATTTAACTAATTAATTTGTATTTATACAGAGAGAACATGCCATGAAAATATGTGTGCACCTCATGCATACTTCAACGTATTTGCACGCTAGAGAGTAGAGTAGATACTAGAGAAGCAGAATCCAATATGCAACATTTTCTCTTCATTTTTACACAACATTTAAAAAGCATGACGGCGTTTTTTGAAGCCCGTCTGTTGTATAAAAAATAGACATGCACTTACACACTTCATTTTAATTAACTGCTACTCTGCGTCCAACGCTTTCTTATTGCTTTAGTCAGTCCACTATTTTAGTTTTTTGTAATAAACATCAGTTTGATCTCTGTGTCTTTATGCTTTTTTTTTCATTTCATCTATCAGCCTTTAGTGTGAAGAATGATGTCAATTATTCAGTGTGAGTGCCGTAAACTAAATCATTTATGAAGATGATGAGATTTTTTACAGATGACGGCTGTTTATGGATGGATTTGTAATGAAGTATTGAATCCTTTGCAAGTATGACCGTCATAAAAAGCAATGGCTTTTGAAATGGTGTTGTAAGAATGATAACTCTTGTTTTGTGGACTCGACGTAGACGTTTGGGCCAGTACTTTGCTAACTGAATGTGTGGAAACCAGGCATGCAAACTCCACACAGTCGACTGAGGCTCTCTTGAACAGATCATCAAAGATTGGGGTCTACATTTGGGGTCTTTTTAGTTTTTTTTCAGATTTAAAGGTCACATATTCTCTCCTCTTGAACCAGTTTAAATAAGTTTCAGAGCGCCTTAAAACATGTCTGTGAAGTTTCTTGTTCTAAATCCACTCTGATCCTGTATTTGATCATGTCTATAAACCCTCTATTTCAGCCCTGCTCAGAACAGGCTGTTTCTGTGTCTGTACCTTTAAATATGTAAATGAGCTGTGTCTGACCACGCCCCCTCTCTGGAAGGGCTTTGGGTGTCTCTGGCTTTCTCGCTCCATGCCCTATTGTTTATGGTGAGAAGGCAGACTCAGAGGGCAGAACAAACACCTAGCTGTGGGAGTGTCACCCACCTGGGAGGGGCTACTGCCCTTTGTGATGTCATAAAGGGAAAATCTCCAAACGGCCTGTTTGAGCACACATTTTCTGAAAAGTGGAGTAGGCAACAGACGAAGAGGATGGACTTTTCTCATAATTGGGGGGTCTGTAACAGACTAGGGACACATATTAGTGTTTAGAAAAACATGGCAAAGTAACATGTAAGCGTTCGTCGCGGAGTTGTTGCGGCTTCAATTCACAACAACGTAAGGAGACTGAGAAGTGCTGACCAGTAAATATTTATAATTGAATATTTCTACTCCCCCCCCCCAACCCTTTCAGTGTAACAGCAGAGTAAGAAGAATCAGACTGAAAAGGCGTTACCTATCCTCTCAAAGTAATTTCAAAAGGTTTATGTAATCTAACCCTGTTAATCTAGTTATGTTGTCACTGATTTGGACCTTAAGCAGACACAGATAAGCCTGTTAAGGTGTTTACATGAGTTTCAATTATCACAGTTTAGCCTGAATCTTTACGTTAATCATGTTTGTGCATGTGAAGATGGGAAAATAAGGGCTTGCAGTAACTCCCAATGCACACATGCATTTATCTATTCCTTCATCTTCTAAGTGTATTTTGTGTCGCCTGTTTGTGTGGCTGTGCAGCGAGTCTTACTTTATCCTAGTTGCATTCTGAATATTTGGTTGCCATCTAAAATTCCCCAAAGCGTTCAACTATCTAAACTCTCCTGCAGCTTCTGTCGTCCTTTTGTTTTGTCCCAAGCTTCTTCTATAACTTCAAGTTTCTCTTCCAACTTTTCTCCACTCTGGATCAGTAAACTGGGTTTGTTGATAGAAGGGAAGAAGATGCTGAGAGAGAAGTTGGGAGGGCCATTGGGACTGAAAGTTTTCCTGCTTCTTGTCCCTGGATGGATAAAGTCTGTGTGACTCGCCTCTGGTTTTCTGCTGCAGTAATGAAGTTTCACAGCAGCAGATAGGCTATTATTAGTTTTGTTGAATTTCCCCCCACTGTAGCTTTTAAATTATTTAATGCTCTGCGCTCGTCTTTTTTTTTTCAAGGTTGTGAAACACCACGTATGTTCACATGCACACACACGTTTAATTTATAGGTGTGAGGCTCACTTTGGGGATCATGATGTTTATGATTTTCCTACATGTGCAGCAAGCTCATTTGACATTCAGCACCAATCAAATGAATGTTGGGTTCAATCATTTGCTGAGCTGTGGGCGTGAGAGCCGATGTGGTTGACATAAATAAGGACTTGGACTTGCCTGACTTTCTTTGGACTCAACTCTTTTAGGACCAGATTTATCTATGAAATCCTAATATTATAGTTTCATAAAAGATCTGCTGACCTACTTATTGTTTTGACTTTACTTTAAAAGCTTCAAATTCTTGATTGGAATTGACATTGGACTTGATTTGACTTAATATTTCCCTTGGACTTCTCTTAATGACTTGGGACTTCTTTTGGACTTGTCCAAAGTTGTTTGATTAAAATTCACTCAGATCACTAAAGAATAGACTCTGACATTTATGTCCAAATAAGTCCAGACTCGATTGGACAGTTAAGTGTAGATTTTCTTAGTCTCTAAATCTTGTTTTTTCTCAATGACTTTCGACTTGGACTAGCCCCAACCAACTCATGACTGGTGTTGTCACCATACCAAAATGTAAAACTTCAATATGATACTACTGAAAATGGAACCATACCAATACCTGTTTTGATACCACAGCAAAAAGAAAATATTGATTGTTATTGTTATTTATTTCTTAATTGCACAAATATGTTTGCAACATAATTGTAATGCAAAATTGCCAATGTTTTTTTGAGATTACTACATGTGCAGGAGTTTGCCCTGAACGTGTTGATGGATTCACTCCTCTCCTGCGCACCTGTCTTTTGGAATTGATGGAGGTTTTTAAAGGCTGATTTGATCTCATTTTTCTGAAGACTTTTAAATATATTTGCCCCAGATTGAAATTGATCTGGTGAAAAGCAAATGCCTGACTTGGACTTGATGATGCGAAGCCTCATTTCAGCTTTTCTCAATTAATTCAGACATTATTCTGTGGACTGAATTGACTCGTTCTGGTTTATACGACTTCAGCCTAAACTGTTTTTGTCTCAGTGACTTTACACTTGATCTCTATTAGTCTTAAAGACTTCAAACTTGATTTGCATTCTCAAATGACTGTACACTTGACTTGAACTTGATTTGATTAACTAAAGAATAGACTTGTAGTTTCTCAAACTACATACATGTAGGATGATATGTGTGCCACAATGTGTGGCTTTAGATTTGTCATGACTCGAACACAGTACACAAAAACTTCTTTGGGAACAGACATCCCTTGGTTTGGTCTTAAACTGCCTTTGAATTGACAATGAACACTTATTATAGAAACGATGTTGCTTCATGTGTCACAGTTAAGCAGGATGAGGCTTTTCTTCAGAAAACGGTTCTGTATGCATTAACAGGAAAATATCAGCAAATCAAGTTTGAACGCTTCGTCCACAGGGGGCACTGATATTTACACAAATGTAAAGTTCTCATAGGATCTTCTGTAGCTTTTAAAACAACAAGGCTCATCTTCTCTTTTCTGATTTCCATCTCAGGCATCATACACCAGATGAAGGGGGAGTATGACAAAGCACTGAAGCTCCACAAAGCCCACCTGTCCTTCGCCCAGGAGCTCAGTGACTACGCTGCCCAGGGGAGGGCGTACGGCAACATGGGAAACGCCTATCACGCCCTCGGTATCTTTGACCAAGCTGTGCGGTACCACCGACAAGAACTTCAGATCTCACTGGAGGTGAACTCTCAACTCGGGATGAACAACTTTTTAACACTCTTGTAAAAAAAAAGCAGAATTCTGAAACTTTATTTGTGTTTTCAGGTGAACGATCGTCCATCCCAGGCCTCCACACATGGAAACCTAGCTGTGGCCTACCAGGCGCTGGGTGCTCACGACCGAGCTCTGCAGCACTACCTTCACCATCTGACCATCGCACGAGAGCTCCAAGACACTCAGAGCGAAGCGAGAGCACTAGGCAAGCTAGAAGAGAGACATTCAATAAAGGGAGAAAAGAAGAATTGATTGAAAACCTTTAAGTGGCCCTATTATAATTATTTCAAGTTTTATATTTTGACTCTGTGGAACCTCTCCAGTAGCTTTACAAGAGTTAAGAATTCCAAGAAATCTCCTTAAAAGTATCTCCCCCTGGTGTCTATGAAACCCCTCAGTTCAGCCCATGTCCGACACAGGAGATGTTAGGTACTGTCTCTTTAAGGCCCCCCTCCCTACAAGCCCATTTCCCCCTGATTAGCCAGCTCTCTGGAACCCTGGTAGTGTGGGTGTGTCCTTGTTCCAGCTGTGCCCTGGCCATATGACCATATAAGGAGTTCCGTGACTTTGTGACGTCACAGAATCTTCATGCTAGAAAACACTGTGTGTAAGCTTGTGTTTAGAGCCGACTGAGGGATGACTCGGTGGTACATGAACCATCTGATTTGAAACCTTGTCCATTGTTAGTGTCATTATCCAACACTTTAACAATATGTGTTCTTTTGCAGCTAACTTGGGGAACTTCCACTGTTGGAGAGGCGAATACGCTCAGGCCTTGCCGTACTATCAGCAGTACCTAAATCTGGCCCCGGGCCTGCAGGACCTGGAGGGGGAAGGAAAGGTTTGCCACAACCTCGGCTATGCTCACTACTGCCTGGGACAGTACAGAGACGCTGTCAGGTACCGAACAAAAAAAAAAACCACAAACCTTGAATCGTCAAGAAAATGTTTTCTGTGTGTGTGAAATTTCAAGTTTGAACCGGTCGGAGTGATTTTACTGTGTTGAGCTGCTGGTTGAATATTCTAGTTTTTCCAACAACACCAAATCATTTTGAAGTAATTTGGCACTACAGTTTTTTAAATTTGATTGGATGGTGCAGCAGTAAAAGAACATGGATTGTTTTGGTATGTTCATAACATACAGTAGGCCTTATAGGAGCTCTGTCTGGATTAACCTTACTTCCACTTCCAGCTGCTCCTGTTTACTTCTTGCTCTGCTGGTTTGTCCTTTTATGTCGTGCAGAGTGTAAATGAAAGATACATGCTTTGTTTTTGTTTTTTTCTTCTCATCTTAGGTATTACGAGCAGGACCTGGCCTTAGCCAAAGACCTCCAGGACAAGTTAGCCCAGGCGAAGGCCTACTGTAACCTGGGCCTGGCCCACAAAGCACTGAGGGAGTACAGCAAAGCAGAGGAGTGTCAGAGATACCTGCTCTCTATAGCACAAGCTTTGGATAACACACAGGTCACCTTCTTCTGCTGTGTTCACTCAATAAGCTATAAAAACTCATCCTTCACACTGGCTGTTAATCACAGGGTTATATTTGTCTGCAGGCTGTGTTCAGGGCCTTTGGGAACCTGGGGGATGTGTGTGTGTGCCGGGGTGATCTTCCAGGAGCCGTGAGGTTCTACCAGCAGCAGTTAACCTTGGCTCAGAGGGTCGACGATCAGAAGATGGAGGCCGACGCGTACTCTGCGCTCGGATCAGTTCATAGGTGATAAATTCGGTGATAAAATTGGTATTTTTCTCGATTCTTCTTCTCTTACTTTTCTTCCTTCTCTTCACCGTTTCCTCCCATTTTTAGGCTCCTCCGTCAGTTGGATACAGCCTTGTCCTTCCACAGCCAGGAACTGACCGTCCGAAAAGATCTAGGTGACCAGCAGGGGGAGTGCCGCGCCCTTGGACACCTGGCGGCGGTACACATGGCCCTGGGAGACTACGCTACAACCTTCCAGTGTTACGAGACCCAGCTGGGCCTGGCTCAGGGACTCAGGGACGCCCGTTTGGAAGCGCAGGTCCACGGGAACATGGGCATCACCAAGATGAACATGAGCGTGTTCGAGGAGGCAATCGGATATTTCGAGCAGCAGTTGGCCATGCTGCAGCAGCTGAGCGGGACCGAGAGCATGCTGGACAGAGGCCGGGCCTACGGGAACCTGGCCGACTGCTACGACGCTCTGGGGGACTTCGAGGAGGCCATTCAGTACTACGAGAAGTACCTGACGGTGGCTCAGAGTCTCAACCACGTCCAGGACCAGGAGAAGGCCTACAGAGGACTCGGCAGTGCTCACAGGTACTCAAAGCCTCAAAGGAGAGCTCAATGTTAAAAATTGTACCTGATGGTGGAGTAAGGATTTTAAAGGATTTTCTTAAAGTCTTTACATGTGATTTTTTGATCCAGCAGATGTCGCCCTTGAGCACCAGCATGAAATCAAAACACTCGCGCTGCATTGTTGTGTTAGCATGCTAATGCTAGTGATCTTTATTATGCTTTATCTTCACATTCCATGTAAATTTACCTGAAATGAGCGTGATCTAGAAACACAGTTAAGCAGTGAGTACAGTATGTTATTCTTCTTTTCTCTAGTCCCTCAATTAAACAACTTTTATACACGAGGGGAGGAGTCAGCCGGCCGTCCGGCGATGTAAACAAACTGAAGATAGGACTCTGAAAACTCTGAAAACATCACAGACAGTGGGACTCGGGTGTTACACCCATTGTAGACAGTCATGACTCACAGAGTTATTTTCAGAGGATATACTTGATTTCTATTATATTTAAGTGTGAAAAATCACATATTAAGCATTTAAATGAACGTTGAATTTAGAAACGTTAATGCAACTAAATTGAAACTCCACAGAAATTACAGAGAAATAATGTGCTTGGATGTCTTTAAAATCCCATCTGAGCAAATGTTTAAAATGCTTTTCATTGGCCAATACAAAATCTATTTACACTTAATTGGCAAGTGCAGCCGCTCACTACTTTCTGTTTAGATTAGTGCTGATATGTATGTCATGTATATTTGTGTGCATTGCTTTCACATTAGTTTAGATATTTCTTTCCTCTCTCTCCAGCATTCATGCAAAAAATCTGAAATGAGCTTTTTCTTGCCTGAGGGGAAAAAAAACGTTACACATTTCAAATTAGATTCATAACAAAGATGAAGGAAAAAAAAAAAACACTGCTCAGTAATAGTAAAAAGTATGAGCGTTGATGGGAGGAGTGGTAGTTTCTTCTCCTCTTCTCCTGTGAAACTAAGCAAGTAATTTACCCTGACAGAAGAACAAGGCGTAATGACGGGTTTCCTCTTTTCCATCTGTTTGACTCTCCTCCCGCTCGCTGCAGTGTGTGCAGACGATTGAAATGAGAACAGATTTATTCCAATGAACAAAGCCTTTGTAGATGTTTCTTCTTTTACTCTTTCTCTCTGAGGATGAGGAACTGTTTTTCACAGTGGAGAAAAATTCTAAGTGTCCCCCTATTATGGACCTATTTGCTGTCCTTGTTTGCTTTCTTAAATTGCCCATATTGGTCTCTCTGGATGAAAGGAAGCTTTGATTGCGGCAGAGCGAGCAGTCTGTGTTTTGTTTTGACATAAAAAAGGTAATCATATCCTGTGTTTTTCCTTCTTTTCCCCCTGCCGTCTTCAGGTCTATGGGAAGTCTCCAGCAGGCTCTGGTGTGCTTTGAGAAGCGACTGGTGGTGGCCCATGAGCTCGGAGGGGAAGGAGGGGCAAGGCTCAGGCTTATTGGGAGCTGGGTACCTTACACAGCCAGCTGGGGAACTACGAGCAAGCCTCTCCTGCCTGGAACATCAGCTGAATATTGCACGAACAGCTGGGGTAAGGACATGTTTCTACCACCAATTTATATTCAAGAGTGTGTGGAACAGACACAAGAAAAAAAGGGAAAAGTCAAAATTTAAATATGTATTTCTGGCCTGTGCTTGCGTATCATTTAAAAAAATAAAATAAAACACAGAGAAAACCAAGAATAAACTGAACTTTCTCTGAGGGATAGTTTAAAAAATTGTTCTTCTTCTTCTAACTCAAAATGTTCAAAACAAAGTAAAATAGAAGACATAAAAGTCAAGAAAGATGTCCAGCATGAAAGCATCAAAGATGAAATGCAAAACCTAAAGAGAGAAAAGTGTGTGAAAAGTTGTGTGAATAAAACTGAGCTGTTGAATATTAAGTCCTACTTTCAGTGTTAGTGTCTGTTATTAAAGAAAAAGTGAGTCAGATCTAGATATATTTGACTCTCAGATTTGATGCATTATTTTTGCCTTTTATTCTTAAATGTAAAACTAATAAATCAATTCCTCTTTTGATATTTATTTCTCAAGTTCTAAGAAAAAGGAACAAAGAAAATCTGTCATCTGTAGCAGCTGTAAGTCTGTAAAAACATCAACCAATGTCTGCCTAGAGGTACCAATCTGATGAACCAATCACACGCCTCCCAGTCTCCCTGCTCGTTCTCTACCTCTCGCGTGCTCTAGCTCACACTCAAAGTGTGTCACCGATGACTTTAGGAGTTTATACTGAGAGTTTACTTACCGCTGAATGAGACATGAGACGACGTAGTCTCTACACAATGCAAGAGATGAGCTGAGGTCCACTTCTGGAGCATGTAAGTGAGGGGGCGTGGCTTTAGAAGGGGCACAGAGGGGAGGGGGGGTGGATGCAGACGGAGCACAGAGGGAATGCTGCTTTCAAAATCATACTAGTTTTTGAAAATGACCAACCCTGCCTTTAATTTAAGTGAAAAGCCAAAGTAAAGAAGTGGGATTTAAGAATGTTACGTATAATCAAAAGGTCAACTTTATGCTCAACATATGACTTTATTCTCATCTTCATTTCAAACATTCCACTTTATTCTTCACACTTTGTGTCTCAAATTTTTTACTGTACAAGCTCAAATAAAACATATCCTCCACTTGTTTTTTTTTACCACATAAGCCCAGCACTAATGCTCTTACACAGATTTTTTCTTCTCGCTTTGATGAATATGAAATTAATCATCTTTCACGAGTACCTTGTACACAGATAAAAATGTAGTAAATCCTGCTCTCCCTGTCAGGATAAATCCCTGGAAGCAGAAGCGAGCGACGCTCTCGGGGGCGTTTATCAGCTGATGGCAGACAACGAGACGGCGCTACAGGTAAGCACGAGTCATAATGCAGCATGACTCAGTGTTTCCCAGCTGTAACTTCAAGGAATATTTAGATATTTTTGTGCCATCCATCTCTTTAGTCAGCACCAACAGCAGAGTCGTCCCCGTCCATCTTGTCGATCACTGAGGGTTTAAATGTACTAGTCTTTATCCTGATCATCATGCAGAAGGCTCTGAGAGGCAGTGCTCTCATTCTGTCTTCATTTTTTCTGTGTCTTGCTGCTTTTTAGCTTATTTTTGATCTGAAAACTAATCAACTGTAAATGCATACGGGCCTGTAATTGAGACCTGTCTTCATTAGTCAAAACATGCATCAACACCAGGCTTTTTTTTTTTAAGTTTGACAGTTAAGTGAAGTTCTTAAAAAATGTCAAACTTACAAACTCTTTGCACATCTTTGGGAGAACAAACTTGTTTAAAGTAAGAATATGCAATTTTTCACAGTGTGAAGCTACGAGCAAACTAAAGAGCGCAAGCATTAGCATCAGCTCGAGTTGTTTTGGTTTCATGCTGGTCCTCAAGGGCGACATCTACTGGATCAAAAAGTTGCAAATTCTAACTTTAACCACATTATCAAGGAATTCCTCGCACCCTACCAAAAAATGGTCCAGCACATCCTCTTGAAATACCAAACTTTTTGCCATGTTAGCTATCGGGCTTTTGTTTGGATTAAACAAACAGGACGTCAATCAATCAGTTAACTGTAGAAATTGTTAGTTGGCTGAATATGTTACCCTCATAAGAATTGAGGTAAGCTAAGCGTCACATCTCTAGGTCGGTTTGATTTTAGCAAAATGACAGTGAAGTAACCACGCTGTCCTGCTGCAGTGGCACCAGAGGGCTTTGGACATAGCAGAGCAGACCGGATGCGTGAGGAGCCAGGGTCGAGCCTACGGAAACCTGGGACTGACCTATGAAGCTCTGGGCAACTACGAGCGGGCGGTGGTCTTCCAGGAGCAGCACCTGAGTGTGGCGGCCCAGACCAACGATCTGATTGCTAAAACTCTCGCCTACGGGAGCCTCGGGAGGATACACCATGCACTGCAAAACTCTGCACAGGCTGTGATGTATCTACAGGAAGGTAAGAAAGTGTAGAGTAAGAACTCTGATAACTGAGACAGGGAGTCACACTTCCTCCTCCTCTGTGAAATGGACTGTTCAATATTGATGCACCTGAATCACATGCATCATCTGTGTGATGGGATTTCTGTGTTTCAACATCTCCTCTGCGTTCAAAGGCAACCACTTACTGACAACAAACTCAACTTTCGATGAAAAGGGTTCAAGAATGTCAGTCACGCTCTCACCTTCCCCTGTAGCTACAAACACTCGTTTTAGGGAGACTTCGGCTCTCGCACACTTTGATCTGCATGTGGGCATCTTATTTAAAAGTCAGAGTTGTTTAGGCCTGAATACATTGTGAGCTGTGTTACTGAAACCCCTCAGAAGCATGAAAGGTATTCATGAGTCTGACGGAGACTAAAAGAAGATCAGTGCTCGGCTGTTTATCCTGCAGTGTGCGTTCCTTCAGGCAGCTTGTTGTCAATAATCCTGTTTGATTGAACTTCTCCTCTAACTAGACTACTAAAGCACACATTCAAATCTTTCCCCTTTTCTAACATTAAAACTGCTCCCTAAACTAATCCAGAAGAATATTTTTAACACCAGTAAAACACACTAAACCTTTGGAAACAGACCTCCAACAGGCTTTCTTAATGCAGAGAGTTCTTTGTGCTACCCTAGTCCACATCACATGTACAGTTTTTATGACATTATTTAAAACGTTGTATTGCAGTTTTGTGTTCTTCATTGTATGGTCTGGTGCTTTGTTTGGTGTGATGTGCTGCGTTTTGTGCTACATTGCATTCTTTTTCATGATGTTTGATTATTTCACATTACGTAGCATTACATTATGTAGTACTGGGGGTTATTTCTGTATGAGATGGACAATTATGAAATCATGAAACAGACTGTGGATCATCTTAGATTTATTCAGCCATGGTCAGACAACACAGAAACACAACACACATGGCTGACAAAGTGCAGACCATCGCTGACCCATGCTGACCAAGATCACACAATCATTGACAATCATTGGCAAAGTGGCCATCATGGGCAAAATGGCAAAATGGCAAAATGGCAAAATCTTCATCACACAGTGTGGCTTATATTCTGCTAGAAGGTACAGCCCACAAATTCCTTTCCATTTGGGTGCATCACTATAAAACAATAAAGATGACATGTCACTGATTTGTATACGTATCAGATGTAGACTCTCTGTCTAGTAAACAGTTGCTGACAACATATAGTTGGCTCCTATCCATTTACAGATCTGCTACTACTTAGGTGCTTCACCCATATAAGGTTACAGTTTCACAGACCCAAAAGTAGAATTACTGTGAGATGGTTGACACAATTTAAAGATATGTCCACAAAATTATCAAGATGAATGAATCCATGAAAATACGTACTAACAAGTACGTTACGTAGCGTTATGTTTTGTAGCTGATAAGTTATAGGTAGGGTTCCGTAGCGTTACGTTACGTAGTTTTACGTTACATAGCATTGTGTTACGTTGCGTTACGTAGCGTTGCGTTACGTAGCGTTACGTAGCGTTGCGTTACGTAGCGTTGCGTTACGTTCCGTAGCGTTACATGGTTTTACGTTACATAGCGTTACATAGTTTTACATAGTTTTACGTTCCGTAGCGTTACATAGCGTTACATAGTTTTACATAGTTTTACGTTACATAGCGTTACATAGCGTTACATAGCGTTACATAGCGTTACATAGCGTTACATAGTGTTAGATAGTTTTACATAGCGTTACATAGTTTTACGTTACATAGCGTTACATAGCGTTACTTTCCTTAGTGTTTCGTTCCGTAGCGTTACATTATGTGGTGCTACATAATATGGCATTACGTTCCGTAGCCTTTCATTCATAGCTTTATTGTAGCCTGCCTAGTGTTTTGTTATCTCACGTTGTTGCAATATGTTGCATTACGTAAAGTAAGAAAGCATTGCTACGTTGCGTCATGTTGCGTTTCAATAAATTACACTGCGTTACCTTACGTTACATTTCTTTGCCCTGCGTTCTTGTTACTAGTGTTGCGTTGAAGATTTTTTTGGGGGGGGATGATGGGGGCATTTTTGGCTTCATTGGAAAAGACAGTTGAAGAGACACAGGTAGATAGCGGGGAACGACATGCAGCAAATGGCCAAGGGTCGAACTCAAACCCTCGGCTGCTGCGACGGGGACCACAGCCTCCCTACATGGGGGCGCACGTCATAACTGCTAGGCTATCAGACGCCCCACTTTGCATTGCATTTTTGCACCGGCAGTTTTATTTCTGTTTGAGAAATCAAAGAGTTAAAAAGACTAGCAGGCAAAACCAAGGCTGAGAAAATGTAAAAATTGAAGGGGTATTTTGGGGCCTGTTAGATACAGACACGGTTTGTCACTTTCTTCACTGATCGTCTCAACTTTAATTGATCATTAACTCAACAAGCAAGGAGAAATTCAAATTAGAGTTTAGGTAAGGACAGACACTTCCGTACGAGTGCCTCCAATTAACCTCCTTTAAAATGAACCAAAAACACCCCAGACTGAAAACATCACAGCAGACTGACAGAAGCATCCAGAGAAGCATGAATCCAAACTTGATATTTGATGAGCTTCGGCTCCATCTGAGAGTCTAATGAGAACTAATTACAACCTGTCACGACTGTCTGCTCGCACTCAGCAGGGGAGACGAAACATATCAGAGACAAACTGAAGAGCAGACAGAATACGAGAGCTTTGAGTCAGCGAGATGAAAAGACAGAAAGACAAGAGGAACAATGAGAGAAGAAGAATGGCAAATGTGAGCGCCCAGGGCTCAGCGCGAGTTAGTCTCGACGCGCCAACCGTTGTCATGAGCGTTAAAGTAGCAGGACTTTCAAAGCCATGATGTTCAGATCAGGCTCAAGTAGCGAGAGTCTGATCTTCTTCTTGTCTCCTCCTCCTCCTCCTCTTCCTCAGGTCTGCGTCTGGCGGAGCAGTTGGGTCGGAGAGAAGATGAAGCTAAGATACGCCATCGCCTCGGCCTGTCGCTGTGGGCCGGAGGAAACCTGGAGGAGGCTCAACACCAGGTGTGTATGTGTGATGGTATGCTCACATCTGCATAATCTGTAGTGTTGGAAATCACATGGGTGTTAATGGGACATACTGGGTTTTTGCAGCCAGCCTCAAGTGGCCATTTGAGGAACTGCAGTTTTTGCACTTCTTCAATTTGCATGTATTTTCCCTGTGACTTGCTATTTTTCAACTTTGATTTAAGAAAAAATCCACTTTTGTTCAACAGAAGCCGTATTAAAGTCAAGAGTCAAACATATCACAAATGATCCAAAATATTTGTAAATTAAAGAGCTGTTCAGTTTCGACATTAAGAAAAGCAATGTGAAGATGAAGCAATATTTTCAATTTGTAGAAGGATTTTAATCATATTAGGAGTACATTTAGATTATTGTTATGCTAGTTATGATATCACATGAAGAAGAGTAGTACGAAAACAGCATATCTAAAGTTATTATGAGTTACATAACAGAGGCAGATAGAAGAAGTACACACAGATGTTTAACATTGTCGAGGATTCTACAGCAGACATGAAAATAGTTTAAAAGTAATGATATTGATAATATTTAGCTTAATGATTATAGTTTTTAGAGTAGTTTATTGATCTCAGATACCTGTTTGATAGGGAGAACCTCAGCATCCTAGCTCTCTAGCTTGGTTGTGTATGTGTAGTGCCATCTAGTGGTTTGTATTGGTACAGCGTGAGCTTCTTCTGCTTTGAAATAATGAGTTTAATAAATAAAAACAGGTGACAGATTTAAGGACACAGCTGACATGAGTGAGGAAACATAATGAATGCACAAACTCAGGGGTTTTGCAATCTTGAAAATGTCCTCACAATCAGCAGATCCCGACCAGCCTGAACACCTCAGAGAGTTTTGTGTGTATTTTTCACTCTTCTGATTTACCATCAATGAGATTAATGTCTGTTTTCTGTGTGTGTGTTTCAGTTGTACAGGGCGTCTGTGTTATTTGAGACATTTCGTCATGAAACGCAGCACAACACGGATTACAAACTCTCTCTGTTTGATCTGCAAACCAGCTCGTACCAGGCCCTCCAGAGGGTCCTCGTCAGCCTAGGTGAATGAGATGTCCTCCTTTCTTATTTTAATTTTTAATTTGTAAAACATTCCTCATCTTTCATCTTTTTCTCTGTTTTTAATGCACCACATTTTCACCTGATATCGAAGTTTATTTATCTACTTGTGCTGCCACTTTAGACCTTCTATTCTCCCACATCTCCACCTCTTATTTACCTTCTGTTTCACCATTCAGGCCGACACGATGAGGCCTTGGCGATAGCAGAACGAGGGCGAACACGAGCCTTTGCCGATCTCCTTGTTGAACGTCAGAAAGGAAGTCAGCTGGCAGCGAGCGCCGACCCGTACATCCCGGTCACAGTGGAGAACATCCTGGAGACGGTGAACGGTCAGAGGGCCGTGGTTCTGTATTACTCTCTGGCTGGAGGCTTCCTGTACAGCTGGCTGATAGCACCGGGCACAGGTACACACACTTATAGACACAGTTAAAGGATCAATCAGTGAGATATCTACTGAATTAAATCATAAAATGACCTTACTATATGATCAGACATTAAGGAAACATGCTATGTTGAAGTGCTGGCTTCTCTGACAACAATGCAGCAGCCAGTATGTCCTCCTTCTAACTTTAGATTCTGCTCCTGAATGCTCTGGATTTGTTTGGACCAGAGAAGGTAGGCGGTTTTAAGGCACCACCACACGGCCGTTTTGGAGGCCACCCAGTTTGATAGGCAAACTACAAACCAGCAGGTGTTACAGCGATGGAAATGGGCAAGCCTCTGCATGTTTCTAATAAGCTCCACGAGCAGAAATGTGGTAAAACTAGGCTAAATATTGTAGATGCTTTTGAAAAATGGAGAGAGGTTAGAACGCAGAGTCATGCAAAGCTGGCTAAACACTGAAGCTTCAGTGTCCACGTCATGGCAAAAACCATGGATTTATATTTGTTTTTGACCTTTAATCACCTTCAAAGCCCATGCTCGAGGGATATGTGTAGCCCCATCACTTCTGTTTTTCAATCCAACACTTATTAAATCGGGTGCTGAAACTAAAATCACAGCATCTCAGTTGCCACCAGAAAACAGGGCTGTAGACTTTTGGCCTGGTTAATAATTCACATATTTTCCCAAACTGTGCCCTGAATACTGAGTTTGGAGCAATTTTATGCAGACTTGTGTTTGATATCGCTCCACGACAAGCATTCAAAAATCCATGTCCCAGTTTCCCCAGTTATTTTTTGCCTTTACCCAACCCAGTATGCAGCGCAGTACATTTTATACTAACAATAATCTTCATTCTTCAACAGGTATTGTGAAGTTTAACGAGGTGTACCTGGGAGAGGCTGGGGTGGAGGCTTCAGAGCTCCAGGATGGAGGAGGGAGTCCACAGAGCGGAAGAGGGGGAGGAGGAGGAGGAGGTGGAGGTCCTCTCTCTCTGGAGCAGTACATCAGTAACGCCAGAGAAGCTTTAGGAGTGGACAGCCACTACAGCAGGTTTGGCTGCTTTCTATTACGATACGGTTTGTGAGATGGTTTGATTTCATTCCTTCATTTGCGACATAATTGTTGTTGTTTGCATTCTACCAATTGCATTGAGTCGACCTGCAAGCATTACAAAAAAAAAAGACACAATCCAACTCAATCTAACATGGACACATGTAGAAAAGAAAGTCAAACAAACTATGGGCGTTTTCACATTAGGCACGATTGCCCCACATTTCTTGGATATATATTCAAGAAAAAAAGCCCATAATTTTATGTAAAAATCGAGATTCTTTTCTTGTGAGATTTCATAACTTCCAAAAATCGAGTAAGTGCTAAGGCTAGCTCTTTAACTCTAGCAAGAAATTCAGTTGGCCTCGCAGATGCCTGAAGAAGACCCTGAATTAACCGATGTACTAAATTCAAAAATAGATTTTGAATCCAGAATCGTTTTGAGTCAAAAATAGATTCTGACTCGAATCATGACCCCAAGAATCGATATCGAAATCCAATCATGAGACACTTAAGATTCCCAGCCCTATTGGGAACCACTGCGTTACCACAAGCTAACAAGCTGACAGACACTACAAACAAAGATTAAAACTACACTATGATATGTATGCTAGGGACTGATTTTTTATAGTTTGGGCATGAATCTTCAACTCTTCACATTACTGTAATACTAACGCTAGCTTAACACACACTGCTTTCTCAATGTTGTGTTAGCCTAAATGGTGTTGAGATTGAGATGATTTTCTTCCAGTCCTTTTTTTTGTATACCTTAATGTGTAACAACCGTTTAAGAGAAGTTTTAAATCCAAGGAGAGCTTTTTTTTTACTTTTCTGAAAGGGAACTTAAACCTTTCAGCAGAGGCGCTTCTAGCTAACATCCAGCAGCTAGCATAGACGTCGAAACTAGCGCTTCATCTTTGTTCATTCAAACACAAGAACCAAGAGAGGAGAGTGAATACAAAACAAGCGAGAGGAGCCACATGCTGCCTGTCATCAGTCTTCCTCTTATACTGCTCGCTCTCTCCTGCCATATTTCTTTACTCTCAATTATCCTGCCCACAACTGCAGGCCTCGGTTGGCATCGCGGACGCCTTTGTAAATCACTACCATGTGTCGTGTCAGCAAATGTTCCCCCACACAAACTGCGTCTCAACTTTCTGTCTAAAAAAAAAAATAATAATAAAAACCCAACAACACTGCAGTGTGTTTACTGCAGCGAGTGTCTTTCCCCTGCGTGTTTGTGTATTTATTTCTGTGTGTGTGTTGAAGCCTGGAGCCTTTCTCTGTTTATGTGTGGCAATTATGACTCCTGCTCATCCACACTATGAAAAGTATTTGCACATATGCAGCATTAAAAACACTTTCCCGAACCCAGCAGTGGAGTTTTTACTGCCCTCCAGCATGTATCCAGGCTGCGGAAAGTGCTATTTAAACACAAATCAAATCTCCCTGAGCTGTGAAAACTGCAAGACAGGGAATCACATAAAAGCTAATGGCTTTTGGGTAATGATAAATTCAGCAGGCCATCAGTGCAGGACAGAAAGACTGCAGAGTCCATCTATTCATATCTGTAAAAATGACTCCTGTTGGATCAGTTTGTATCTCGGCACTAAAACATTTCTGACTATTTCATAAAACATTTTCTTTTTTTTTCTCTGCTTCCTGTAATATCCTGTAAAGTTCAAATGTTTTGCTGAAACATGTGTTGAAATGGACTTTACTTCAGCTTGTGCTTGAGAACTTTTCTAGTCTTCTGACTACTCAAAGTGCTTTTACACTGCAGGTCACACCTACACATTCACACACTGATGGTACAGTTTCTATGTAAAGTGACCATCAGAAGTAAGTAGAAGTAATCCCATTCATACACATTCATACGTCGTTGATGAAGCAGCGGGAGAAACTTGGGGTTAAGTGTCTTCAGACACTTGTGTCCACATCGGACATGTGGTTGCAGGAGCTGGGGATCGAACTCCGGCTACTTCCCCTTTCAATATATGCTCTATGATTTCATTTTTGTGTGAGATTTTTCCGGGGTGCATCTTACAACCGATATCGCAAACACTCACATGACCAATATACGACAGACAAATGCAGACAACCACATATTGTTGTATAATGTCGGTTGGTCACACAGGGATAAGGTTCAGTGATGAAGGTGCTTATCGTCTCAGTTTTTAACCTTTTTTTTCATGAAAAAAAGTTGTAGTGTGCCGATCAGTGCGAGCAAATACCACAGCTTTTTTGTACTTTTTTGACATTGTTTCCTTTTTTCTAGATCCTTGCTTGTGTTGTTCTTACTCTCTGATGTACGTCGCTTTGGATAAAAGCGTCTGCTCAGTGAATTGTAGAATTGTAGAATCCGTTGAAAGTGACGTCTTAGCCTTGTGTACTCTCAGCGCCCCAGCCATAGATTGAGGTGGAAAAAAAACAAACAATTAAATGTCAGAAAAGGCATTCATGGAGTGAGAGTGTGAGATTTACTACTACTTTGTTTCATTTTCCTGGTGATATTAGCGTGCCGTAATAACGCTGACTTACTCTTTTTCTTCTCTGCAGAGTTTGCTCCAGCAGCGAGACGGAGAGTGAAGCCGGAGATCTGTTGGAGCAACAGTTTGAGGAGCTGAACAACAAACTCACCTCAGCCACAGACCCCACAGGTTACCTCCGCATGGTGTCCAGAAACAACCTCTTCAACAGGTCTGTCTTGATCTTTATATTTGAATGATTTTTCGCTGAGTCTTGCTATTTTTCGCTCAACCACTTTAATCTCTGCCATGATTGTTTTTTTGCCTCTTCCAGAAGCTGTCAGAGCATGACGAGTCTGTACAGCGCCACCGTTTCTCCGGCTAAGGAGAGCTCAAACTCTCCTCTCTGCAGGCCGAGTAACATCAGCAAACCTCCTCTGCGAGCCCTTTATGACTTACTCATAGCACCGATGGAAGGGGTATGTATTTGTGTGTGGACTGCATATCAGTATATCCTTTTCACGCTTCCTTTAACTGATTCTTTTGTCTCCTCTCCTCTCCTCCAGGGCCTGATGCACAGCAGTGGACCTGTGGGCAGACACAGACAGCTCGTGTTGGTGCTGGAGGGAGAATTGTACCTGATCCCCTTTGCCTTGCTCAAAGGCAGCTCCTCTAATGAATACCTTTATGAAAGGTTCAGTCTCATTTCTGTCCCTTCTTTAGCCAGCCTGGGAGCATCCGTCAAGGTGGGTGTAGTGGTCTCCTTAGTTTGTAATATCATGTAATAAATAAACATGTACTTGTATTTTCAGCTCCACACCCCCTCATCCTTGGTAGATGTTGCCGGTTTAAGTTTGAGGTGTTGCATAATTTTATGTTTGTTTGTTTGGGGCATTTTCGGCCTTTTTTCAAGAATACTGATAATGTGAGAGAGAGTTGGGGATGACATGCACCAAACAGGGACAGGATCAGGAGCCACCTAAAGTGCGACAAGATTAGTAGCCTCTGTACATGGGATGCTCGCTCTAACAACTGAACTTCACTGGCTCCCAATAATTCTATATTTGTGAGGTGAAATTCATGTTTTTCACTAAAAGGTTCAGGCTTTGAATCTTGCCTGTGGCTCCTTTCCTGCAGGTCATTCCCCTCTCTCTCTCTCACCATGATTTCCAACTTTATCCACTGTCCTGTCACTCAAACAAATGCACAAAACCCCCCAAAAAAGAAAGTAAAATGCTTATTTTTTTAACCCCCAAACAGCCTTTTATTCCTCCCTTTTCAAAGCAACCAGACTCCATTCACAAAACAGCATTTTTACTTGCAGAGCACACGTGGCGCCCGTTTATTGTTTTCTCAATACCTTTTGGGTTATTTTTGTGAATTTGATGGTTAATTGAGATTCAACAAAATGAAATTGTACAACACAGTTACACAATTAAATACTGATTTGATTGATTCAGTGGTAGAGAAGCATCTCCAGCTTCCTCTGAGGTAAAATTACTGTTTTTGTCAATGACGCCTGGTGTCTTTGAAGAGAGCGACGAAATGGCTCTTTGTGCTTTGAATTAAAGTATTCAGCCTTAACACAAAGGTCTTGTCATAATTCTGTAACCTTGTAAGACTATTATGGTAATGCACTTGGCCTGTTAGCTAAATTGCTCTTTTAGTGGATATACTTTGTTCAGGCACATTTTCCCCAAGAATGACATCACAGCCTGACTTTTGGTTGCAAGCTAAATAAATCTACTGTTTTACAAATTAAAAATTAAAATAAGGAAGGAGGATATCTCATTCACCTAGGCTGACGAGGACCCTCTGGAGGGCCTGGTACGAAGTCATTTAGACCCTGAAAGTGTAAAAACTAACAAACAACACCAGAATCACTATTTAAATAGTGAAAATCTGCATTTAAAACATAACATCATTTCCTTTGCTCCCCCAGCCTCATCCTCGTCGTGGAGGCCCCTTCTACTGCTCTGACGGAGGCTCGGTGGCTGCAGTGGTCGGAGCTCCTCGCCTGCCCTCCTCTGTGATGGACCGCTGGCTGTGGGGACCCTTACCTTCAGCCCAGGAGGAAACCCTGGGTCTCGGGGAACAGCTGGGGTGTCATCCTTTAACCGGAGCGAACGCCACAAAGGAGCGCGTTTTAGCAGCTCTGAATCAGGCCGAGTGCGTCCACTTTGCAACTCACATATCCTGGAAACTCGCCGCTTTGGTCCTCGCGCCCAGCCAGGAGCATGCAGGAGGAGGAGGAGGAGGAGGAGGAGGAGGAGGAGGAGGAATATCCAGGGAGAGGTCACCATGTGGAACATCAACTGCAGGCGACACTGAAGGTCAAGACGGGAGAATCAGGGGTTCATTTTCAAAGAGCCACAGCAGCCCGGAGGGACTCAGAGGAGCAGACGAGATGAGCGAGGACGGGGACAGTTTGTGTGACATGGAGAGCATGTACAACAGTCCACCTCTTCATGACTTCCTCCTCACTGCTGCAGACATCCTGGACCTGTGCCTGAGCGTCAAACTGGTGGTTCTGAGGTACAGACATTTACTAGATTCAACAAAAGCCCGTTAAGAATTGCACATTTTTCTTGACCTCTGATTGGTCCTCTCCTCAGGTTGTACCCGGAGTCCAGCAGCAAGGTGTCAGCAGACGGGGTGGTGGGTCTGACCCGGGCCTTCCTGGCTGCGGGTGTCCAGTGTGTGTGCGTCTCTCTGTGGCCGTGCCGATAGCCGCCTCCAAACTGTTCACGCACACCTTCTACACGGCGCTCCTCAACGGGATCAAAACCAGCGCCGCTCTGACGGAAGCCATGAAGACGCTTCAGAGCAGCAAACACTTCTCACACCCCTCCAACTGGGCGGGTGAGCAAACAGAACCCTGCATAAACACATAAAAAACACTATAGGCGCGTGGATGTAGCTCAAGGGTTAGCGTGTATGCTACATGGACAGAGGCTACAGTCCTACTTTGACCCCTTGGCCCATTGCTGCCCACTCTTCTTCTCCCTCGTTTTCCAGTCTTTCTTTAGCAGAATAGAAGCAACAATATACCAAAGATTGAAAAAGAAAAAAAATGTTGATTTATTATTGTTTGTCTGAAATATTGCAAGAAAAACACAGAAACAGTTTCTATGTCTCTCTCTTTCAAAGCCACCGGACTCAAAAACAGTGATTTTACCTGCAGAACACAAGAGCTACTACTGCCTTTGTATGAGTTCGATTAAGGTTTTCTAATTCAGAATCAGAATCAGAATCAGAATCGGGGTTTATTGCCAAGTACATTTACACATACAAGGAATTTGACTTGGTGTATTGGTGCTAGCAACAACTTAAATAATACAGAATAAGAAGCTGTTACAATATATAAAATAAAATTTAAAAATGTAAAATATAAAAAATAAAACAAACACAAAATGTACAAAAGCTGTAATGTAGGAACTGTGCAGTGGACTATGAGAAAAAATCTTAATGTGTGTAACTACTCACAGAGTGCATGTAAGAAAGAGACATTTTTAAAGCCCAGTGGGCGTTAATGTAACGCAATTCTAATGAAGTTCCATCTGTTTCTTAATAAGGTGTTAGTAGAGCAGGTTGGCACAGAGGAGTTCAAACTGTGTCCAACATTTCTTTTAAAAACTTCATTGTATTGTTTAGAAAGCTTGAAGTGACCTTCAGTTGAAGTGTGTTTTAATCTCTCAGAGCGTGCTTTTCCTTCAGGTTACATGCTGATTGGCAGCGATGTGAAGCTGAACAGCCCGATGTCTCTGGTGGCTCAGGCTCTGTCAGAGATCCTGCAGTACCCGGAGAGAGCCAGAGACGCCCTCAGAGTGCTGCTCCACCTGGTGAGACACGTCCACAACTCTTTGAGTTATTCAAACAATTACTGCTTCGTTAAATACTGCAAAATGCAAATCGAGCTCTCAAGTTTTAAACATGTTCCGCTCCACAGGTGGAGAAGTCTCTGCAGCGGATTCAGAGCGGTCAATGTAACCCGATGTACACGTCGCAGCAAAGTGTCGAGAACAAGGTCTGTGTGTTCCCCTGTCTCCCTTTGTCTTTAAATGTCACCCTCTGTGCTCATATCTTCCTCGTCTCGTCTCCTCTGTGCTTAAGGTCGGCGGGGTGCCCGGGTGGCAGGCCCTCCTCTCTGCGGTGGGGTTCCGGTTAGATATCTCCGGTAGCGGTGCTGGTCTCCCTGCGGCGGTTTTCTTCCCGACATCAGACCCCGGGGATCGTCTGCAGCAGTGCAGCACCACTCTGCAGTCACTGCTCGGTAACACAGCTCTTTTTAAATGTCTCTAATGTCAATCATAATGATAGATATACAACCTGTTTGTGTATCTATGTAATCATCATTTTCTTACTAATAAAACCTCTGTACTCCCTCAGGTCTCACTCCTGCAGCTCTGCAGGCTCTCTGCAAACTAGTCACAGTGTCTGAGGCCGGAGAGCAGCTCATTCATAAGGTACTGACATGTTGTGTGGTGATGTAATGGCAGAAGATATTTCATGCCAGTGGTGCATGAAGCGCTTAGAACCCTTTGCTTAAACACTATCAATGTACTCAAATATTTCATGTAAAAATATGATTAGATTGTTGATACCGATGCATCACTGCTCGAGCTGCTGCCGGTGTAGACAGTTTGAAAAAGCTTGTCAAGTCCTGTGGTTCTCAACCTAAGGGGTCGGGCCCCTCAAAGGGTTGCCTGATCAGTCAGAGGGTCATGAGATGATTGATGAGAGCAGAAAGGAAGTTCTGACAAACATGTTTATTTTAGTTTAAGAAAGTCGTGTAGTTTTGATTATGTAATAATAATCAAATCAAAGTTCTTTCAGACAATATAGTATTAATTTACATCTTTTGTTTTTGACTAGCTTTTTTATGCGTCTGATAAAGGAAGAAAGTGTTTAGGATCATAGGCCACTAGTGTTTGCAATGACTGGTCGATCATTCATAAATAAATCAGGATCAGAATCAGGCCTGTATGCCCATATAAGGAATTTGACTCTGTAAGCTTTGCATCTTATGTACAAGCAGTAAAAAATAAAATATTAAAGGAGCATTTTGTAACTCTGAATGAAGCATTTAAAATGGGTACTGCAGTCCAAATTCAAAAACATTGGAGAGAGTTGTCTCCCTCCGCCCCCTCCTCTCTAGAGTGGATGTTCACGCAGGTTGCCATGCAGTGGACAATGAAGCTTCAGTGTTTATCCAGCTCTGCATCGGTCTGTAAACCTTTCTGTATTTTGCCAAAACTTCAATGTCTGGTACAATCACTTCTATCTGAACCAGTTCTCTTCCATCGCTTCAAAAACATTGGAGAGAGTTGTCTCCCTCCGCCCCCTCCTCTCTAGAGTGGATGTTCACGCAGGTTGCCATGCAGTGGACAATGAAGCTTCAGTGTTTATCCAGCTCTGCATCGGTCTGTAAACCTTTCTGTATTTTGCCAAAACTTCAATGTCTGGTACAATCACTTCTATCTGAACCAGTTCTCTTCCCCGCTTCCATCGCTGCAACACCTGTTGGTTTGACGTTTTCCCGGTAAACCCAGTAGCATCCAAAACGGCCGTGTGGGGGGTCGCCTTAAAAGCGCCTACCTTCTCTGGTCCAAACAAATCCAGAGCATTCAGGAGCAGAATCTAAAGTTAGAAGGAGGACATACTGGCTGCTGCATTGTTGTCAGAGAAGCCAGCACTTCAACATAGCATGTTTCCTTAATGTCTGATCAGATAGTAAGCTACCTTTATCATTTCACTCAGTAGATATCTTACTGATTGGTCCTTCCTTTAAATAAATTCAGAGATATAAAAGAAGAAACAGCAGTTTTTCTATCTGAAGTGCTGTAGACAGTAAGTGTCGAGTTGCGTAAGAAAGGAAGTTCAGTCGTTAAATTGAACTTTAGAACATTACCAAAGGTAAATGACTCACCTCCACTGGTTTATGATGACATGTCGTGGTGTTGCATGTGTGTCTTTGCCCGTTCTTCATGCTGTTGTGTGAACATGACCATGAGATCAGATGACAGATAAACTCTCATTTGTACGCTCTGTCCCCTTCTTGTGTAAAGAACATTTCTTTAAGTCATCAACCAGAGATGATTTATTATCGTTTCAAGTAGAGGACACTCAGCTATTCATCATCCGTGATGTTTCTCATCCTGCTAGTCGTCAGTTAGAGTCAGGGATCTATTCACGCCCCTCTGTTGGTCTTAGCTTACTGTATTACATTTCATACGACTTTTGAGATCCTCCTGCATCCTCCTGAAGTGTGTGCATCATCGGGTGTCATCATGAGTAAATCATCTTTAATGCATGGCCGTGTGTGTGCGGTGACTCAAACACAACACTTTCACACAAACACAGAACTAAACCCCTGTTTCCTCTCCTCTCAAACCCACCTCACAAAGGCGGTTAAAAGCATGGTGGGAATGGTAAGTGTTCAATAATGACGTTGTTTACTTGAGTTCAAACAAAGGATGAAACTGATAAAAAAAAACTATTTTGATGTGCTCCATCACTCTTAAAATCAAACTTAGCCATAAGATCATTCAATATTACAGCGTACCCAGACCATACATGCATTTACAAACAAACAGCAAGCAGACAGGAGTGTGTCAGAGACAACAAATAAATCAGTTCACTCACAGAGACGCTCACTGACACCCTCGTGTGGCCCCTTTAAGAAGTGACACATACGAGGGTCGGGCAATGATTAAGGACAAGAATAAATGAATAAGTCTTGTTTTAATGTGAATTGTTCAGTAACTATCCTTTATTTAATTTTAATTGTTTGAACCTTTATTTTACCAGGTTGTTCCCATTTAGATTAAGAATCTCTTTTCCAAGGGAGACCTGGCTGAGACAGTCAACAGCAAAATCACAAAGTTACAGACACAGACACAACGAGAGACAAAGTACAATTTACAAAAACACTTAATTTAGCATTAAAAATAGAAAAACCTCTGGGAGTCAGACGTCCAAGCAGTCGAGCTTAAAAACATCGACCTCCTTCAGAGTCTGCTTCCATGTCTTTCATTTTAGATTTAAAAACATGTAAGGACACCAGCTCCTTGAGCTTCAAGTCATTCTGCAACAGATTCCAGACTGAGGGTGCAGAACACCCAAAATCTCTTCCTCTGATTCTTCTGATTCAGATTCTTTTATTGTGTCTCTCCTCTTCAAAGCTCCATCAGGTCCTGGTTCAGTTGCAGTCGGGCGATAAGGATCAAGACTTCTCTCTGGCTCCCATTCAGGTGTCAATAAGCGTTCAGCTCTGGAGGCTTCCAGGCTGCCACGAGTTCCTGGCTGCACTCGGTGAGTCACCAACACATTAACACCGACTGTGGCTTCTATAAAAGACTTGGTAATTTGTTTGAAAAAAAAAATAGATTTATATCAAGATCTTAAGACATGTAGACTGATAAGGAGAGGAAACATCTGGAAATATTTACACTTTATTTAGATATTGTGTTGGTGGAACATTAGAGAAGTCAGTGACCTTTTGACTCAGTATTTCAAGTTAACTAAAGAGACTCATGGAGCCCCCGTGTTTCACAAAATGTTAAAGTACTCTACAAGATACAGTTGTAACAACCTCAGTTTCTATGCTCCCTATATCTGGAACAAACTCCCAGAAAACTGCAGGTCTGCTGAAACTCTCAGCTCTGTTAAATCGAGGTTGAAGACACACCTGTTTACAGCTGCCTTTAATTAAACAGCTTTAAATACGATTTTAAACGTTTACTCTGCACTGTAATTATTATTATTTTTTAATTTTAATTTCTTTACTTTTATTTTTTATTTTTTTAAATTAATTTCATTTTTATTATTTTTATTTGAACATATTTCCAGATTTAACCATTTTTTTTAATTTATTTTATTTTTAATTTTAACGTTTCTTTTCTTTCCTCACTGAAGCACTTTGAATTGCCTTGTTGTTGAAATGTGCTATATAAATAAACTTGCCTTGCCTTCAAATTAATAGGACAGGAAGACGTTTCAGTGAATATTGAAGATAATAAGTTGTTAGATATTCTACCAAATGTGTTAAGAAAAAAGTTTCAGAGAAGCTATAGAGAAACTCATCCAATTAAAAAACTAGTTCACAGATGACACAGGAAGCCAACTCAACTTCAAAGACGGGAATTCTTTTTTTTAAGATTTATTTTTGGGCTTTTATGCCTTTAATGCAGAGATAGGACAGTGGATAGAGTCGGAAACCAGGGAGAGAGAGCGGGGAATGACATGCGGAAGGGGGCCACAGGTGGAGGTGAACCTGGGCCTCCCGCTCGAGACGACAGCCTCAATGCGTGGGCCGCGCGCCCTAACCATTGCGCCACCAGCGCGCCCCTAAAGACGGGAATTCTTGATAATAATCGATGCTGAAGGAGTAAGACCGAACTAGATACATATTTACATACAATCTGGGAGAGCTTTACGGTGCATCTATTGTGGTATTAAGTTTTAATAATAATAATAATAATACATTTAATTTGTAACGCACTTTACATTTTTGCAAAAAAAATCTCAAAGTGCTGCAGAAAATAAAAAACATAAATAAAAAACAAATTTCATCAACTAAGCAACTAATGAAACTAAAAGCACTAGCAGAAGGCTTTGTTAAAAAGGTGAGTTTTGGAGCTATTGGGAAGTTAGCTTGATGCCACGGTGCCACCCTTCCCATACATCCAAAGCTCTGTCTCCATGGCGACAGGACAATAATACCTAATATATCTAATAACTATGAGTATTGAAAAAGTCGGATTTATAAAGTTGAGTTTGACGTATTAATTTGTCAAAAATGGAAATAAAAGTTTCTTCATGTTTCAATTCAGTCACAGAACTTGAGTAGTCGATGACATCGCTCTGTTTTCTCTCAGGTTTCGATCTGTGTGAGGTCGGTCAGGAGGAGGTCGTGTTGAAGACTGGGAAGCAGGCGAGCAGACGCATTATGCACTTCGCTCTTCAGTCTCTTCTGGCTCTCTTTGGTGAGAATAAAACAGAGCTTTTCAAATAAATATTTTCCTCGCTTCGATCATAACACTCGTTCTCTGTCTCCTCAGACTCCACGGAGCTTCCCAAGCGTCTGAGCATGGACAGCTCCTCGTCGCTGGAGTCCCTCTCCTCCTCCCAGTCCACCTCCCAGCCTCACTCCTTACCCCTCTCCTTCAGCGGCTTCCCCCCTCAGCCCTCCTTCTTACCCCCCGTCTGCCCCGACAACCTCTCCTGCGACGCCATCTCCGTCTACAGCCTCAGCTCCCTCGCCTCCTCCCTCAGCTTCCTGTCGCGGCCCGAGCCCGCAGGAAGTGACATCATCAGCCAGCGTTCGCATCAGCAGGACCTCGATAGATCCCGAGGCGGAGGGGGTCTTTACTCCTCGCGTGGAAACTCGGGAGGCCTGCAAAGAGGTCGGCTGACCAATCAGGGAGGAGGAGGAAGAGGGGAGGAGGACGACTACGAGGGGTACTCCATCATCAGCAGCGAGCCGTTAGGGCGAGGGAGGAGGGAGTGCGACACGCTGCCTCTGCCTGCAGGACACAGACAGGGCAGAGGGGCGGCAGGGCGTGGGTCTGCAGGGGCTCATGGGTACCCTCTTACAATGTCCTCCAAAGGAAGCGTCAGCACGCCCACGTCTCCGATAAAAGCTCCGCCCCCGCTGCCCCGCAAGTCTCCTGCAAGCCCCAAAGACAGGCAGCAACTGTAAGTTTATTATCACACGCTCCTTAGAGTCTGCAACAATGCCATAACTGCACATTTATTCTAACACATTGCATCAGGAATGGCACAATCCTCCCAAGTGTGTGGTTTCACATGGCATTATGGTATTGGAAAAGCACAAGACGAACACTGTGTGAAGACACAGCAGGAGCTTCAAAACTCCTGAAAACAAAAAGACGATTTGTCTTTACCCAGAATTTACGGACTAGCCCTTCAATAATAATAATCTTTATTTATAGAGCACTTTTCAAAAACAAGTTACAAAGTGCTTTACAAGGACAGCAAATATAAAAAAACAGGCAAGGCAAGATTAAGGAATAAAAATCACTTTAAAATATAAAATCCCTTTTACAAAATTTTAATACATACAATTCTTTTAAAGGAATTCTAAAAAGTGAAAATAGTAACAATTTCAAATCAAGAAAGGCTCTTTAGTCGAATTTCTGTGTGAAGTTGAACTGATGTGTGAACGCAGCAGAAAACTATTCAAGATAATTCCCCGCAAGCCAGCAGGCGGGTGATGGTGTTGATTTCCCACGAGCAGTTGGGCAACAGGCACGATATCTGCTTCATTCTCTTGTCTTCTCACAAGTCTGATCTGCTCTTTCATTTATACTGTGAATACATCCAAGCGTCGATATAAACATCATGTGTTCGCTTGTGGTTTCTTGATGTTTCCTGCTTTTAGCTCGTCCTGATTTCCCACGGAAAATTCACTTTTGGGGGCTGGCATGAAAATGTCAGAATAAAGTGGACATGGAAAATTCAGCAGTTTTCATTCAGACATGCTGCTCACTCTGAATGTTACAGTAAATTTTCATGAGTTTTGTGTCACTGTGAAAACACCAAGACAAAAGCAACATGTGCTCCATTATGACTTTAACATCTACTCCAAGGTGAGTTCATTTAATAGAACTAGAAATAACGTTTTTTTTTTTTTTTCTTTTTTGATTTTGTTCCAGCTCGTCTCCTCAGAGGTTGGGGAAAGGGAAGGTCAGCAGCTCGGAGTCGGACCAGTCGAGCACCGAGACGGACAGCACGGTCAAGTCCCAGGAGGAGAGGACCGTGCCCGTGGGACAGCTGGACCCGCAGGAGCTGGCCCAGAAGATCCTGGAGGAGACGCAGAGCCACATGCAGGCTGTGGAGAGCCTGCAGAAGGCGAACATCAGAGGGGCGACGCAGAGGGCGGGCGAGGGGAAAGAGGAGGTGCAGGCCAGGCAGACTTCTCTGTCCACTCCCACAACCCCGACTCTGACCGGAGGAGCGCGGGGGTTTCAGCCCTCTGAGACCAGCGCGTTCAGCAGACCTCCCAGCAGGGCGAGTTTAAAGGCTTCCTCGTCCCCTCTCTCCCCGTCCGTCTCAACGCCTCCTCCGACCCGGCCTAAACCTCCCTCCCGCTCCTCGTCCTTGCAGAAAATCAGCTCCAGCGGTTACAACAGCCCGCCTCATTCCTCTCCGTCTTTATCGCTCTCTGTAAAAAAACAGAATTCCTTTTTCTACACGGGTTCCTCAGACATGCATGCCCAGGCTCCGCTCAAATTCAAATACTCTCCCTCGCCTTACACCTCCCACGTGTCACCGTCCCACTCTCCTGCCGACGACGCCCCATCCCCAGCTCTCTCCTACTCCTCTACAGGATCGGTTTCTGCCTCCTCCAGCCCAGCAAACACCCACGAACTGAGCCAGGTCAAACAGGATAATAAAGTGCAGACTATTCATAACTTGAAGGCATTCTGGGCCGGCGCCGGTCAGAAACACGATGAGCCCTGTCCGGCCAGTTACCTCCGAGGTGGGAATAAAAAAATGAGCACGGTTCAGAAAGACGTTTTGGGTTTGCTCAACCTCTCGCCTCGACATGAGTCTGTGAGCAGAGATGCACGGGAATCGAAAGAGCACAACACTGGCGAGAGACCGAATGGTCACCAGAATCTGGAGGCTAAACCGCCTCCGCCTCCTCTTTCAAAAAGCCCACAAACTCTAAAGGAAGCATCAAACTTCCCTCTGGGAACGGCTTCAAGTTTCACTCTCCTGGACATTTTTTCCCTTCTTCTAAATGTTGAGGGTTTGGGATATCGGCCGTGCAGAACTGTAGACTTTTCTATAAGAAGTGGAAGTAGCCTTTGTGACATTTGCATTATTGTTTATTTCAGCCAAATGTGACCATGTTTAGACAAAGGACAGGAAGCTGGAGAGGAGAGAGGAGTTACTGAATGCTAAGTCGTCTGCTAATGCTAGCACTCGCTTGTTAAGAAAGGTGCATTTGTCAGTCACAGAAAACAGTATTTTTGATGAATATTTGTTTCTAGCATAAAGCAGTCTTACACTGAAGTGGCTTTTACTTGCATTCTTTCTGCTGGCCAGCAGGGGGCGAGTTCATCGGATGCAAAACATATAAAAGTCCATGTAAAAAATGATCCTACCTTTTAATTTATAGTCTAAGGTAGCTCTGACGTTAGCTGATGACTTTGCATTTTCTAACCCCTTGCTTGGTTTTAGCTACCTGAACATGTCAGAAACTAGCTACTTACCAAATTAAACGAGGTGTACAAGACAAATTCCCCAACTTGGAGCCTCAAAGTGGCAGTTAACAAACCAATGGATGACATCACAGTTAATGCATTGATCTTGTGTCTGTTTTTCTCTAAATGGGGCCATAGTTTAAATCATTCTGTACTGAGGAAGACTTGAGCTAGCGATTGACACCAGAAACACATCGGAAGAACTTACTGATGTGATAAATAAAGTGAAGGCCCTGACGCACCAAGCAGACGGCAAAGAACTAATGGCGACGAAGGCAAAAAGTTGCACTTGAACACACCGCAAAGACTCCAGCCGACGGCCAACCACCACAGAACTCTCCATGCCAGCAGGGGGCGGTAGTCTGTTGTTATGATACAAGAAGACCATTTTCACACCGCTGTCGCGCACCACTCGTATTATAGGTCGCCTACTAATCAAGAATAATGTCTGATGAAAAGTTGAAAATGGCGCTGGCGGTGTCAGCTCTTGGTCTTTTAGTGGAAAAAAAAAGAAGAGGCGGAGGCGACAAATAAGAAGAGAAACCACACTAATGGTTATTCAAAGCAAACCATTTTCTTTTTCCAATCTATGGAGTCGCCCCCTGCTGGCCATTAGAAAGAAAGCATATTCAAGACCCTTATGTAATGAATTGTACTTTTCACACCTGTGTAGGGTTGTCACGATGCCAGATTTAAACTTTGCTACTATTCTAGTAAAATTCAAATGATATTGAGACCTTTTTCGATGCCACGGCAAACTTAAAAAGAAGTCCCGGGAACCAAGTATGGGGTATATTTCTTAAAGATTTGGTATTGAAAAGTATCCAAGTATCGAAGAATTTAACCGTCTTGTACCTGTGGGCTAATTCCCCTTCTTGTATTCCATCTATGAGCTGAACCCAGAGACTGAAGGCCGATTCTCTGTGTCATTTTTGTTGTTTGTACTTTGACAGAAGCCGTCTGTCAGCCACATTTTTTAGCAATACCTGCTGAAGGAAAAGAGATCAAGTACTCTTTCTTACTGACGGTGATTTTACATGTTATTATTATTATTCTTATTATTATAGTTTATGTGTGTGAAGGGATGTTTTTTGAATGTGATGACTGTGCCTTCTTGTGGAGAAACCTGGAAGGACAAAATGACTCTGAGAGAAATCTCTGGCTTTAATGTTATTTTAATGACTGATTAGAGAGCATGTGTGTCACTGCCTCCATGTACTGTACTCGCAGTCTGCCGACTGTATGCCTGAAGAAAACATTTTATGTCGACCTTAAATGCTCGCTACACTCGTGTAAATTGACCCGATCTGGATATATTGTGTTGTGTTATTAATGCCTCTTGTTGTCATTTATTTTATAAAGTTCACTGTGTTTTTCAGTCATTATTATGCATTTTATAAAAAGATTAAACAGAGGAACAAGTGAGGAAAACGCCTTGCTATTTTTTATACAGATGTGGTTTGATGGGTTATTATCAGCAGGGCACATCTTGCTGTTATTGACTTTATGATGTACAGTTGTGCAGCAGTCCTCCTGTTAGGTCGTAAAGAAACTGAAGGATATGACGAATAAATATGTTTGTTTCTTGTCTTGCTTTAATGATGTAAATCGATTTTTAGGCAGTCAATTCTTGGGCACTTTTCGTAACCTGTTCTTCTACGCCAAAAAATGTCAGTGGGAAATATTCCACTATTTACTGAATTACATTTAAATGAATTACAGTACTTGCATACTTCTTAATAGAGAGAGTGATTTAAATGCATTATAAAACAAATGTTGAACATTTAACAATCAGACATAACAGCTTGAACAAAAGGTATGGGGTATACACCATTTTAACTTTGAAAATAAATGCAATATAAACAACAATAAAACATGAAGAAAGGCCATTACATTCAATTAAATACATAATAAAAACATTTATACTAAACTAAAAACTTGTGAAAAACTGAACTACGAAGATGCTGCATGTTTGAGGTATATTTCATTATACATGGTGATTATATTTGTCAGTTTTCAATGTATTTTATTTAATATGTAACCTATTTCATTTAATTAAATATGTCAATCACATGTTTTATAAAGCACATTTAAAAACAGCAGCAGCTGACCAAAACGTTGTACAATGCATTAAAGAAACAACATACAGGAGTTTAAAACAATTATAAGAATACAGGAATAAAGCAAAAAAAAAAAAAGCTGATAGAAACGGCCTCTTCAGGAGGATAATACTTTATTGATCCCCAGAGGGGAAATTTGGGCGTTGCAGCAGCACAGACAAGAAAGCTCAAATATACATTAAACAGAATAGATAAGATAAATAAAAATAAAAACAGGGGGTATATACAAATACAAAATGAATGAAGTTAACTATGCAGGGAGTTGTGACAGTATTTGCACAGAATGACAAGATAAAGTGACAAGTGATGATTAAAGTGACATAGCATGATTAATGATTACACGATTAAGTGATATAGCTACTGTAATCATATATTATAAGCTACCCGACGTATATGTTAATATATAATAAATAGGAAATTGCAGCTGTTTCACAATGTGAATTCATTTTAAAAAGGACATGGTTTACATGTGTGAATATGTGTTTCAGTGTCTAGATGCTATTATTGTTAACTGCTAATATGTTTATATTTGTGCTGTTTCTATTTTTGTATTGCTGCAGGGCACACCTGGAAAAGAGACCTCGGTCTCAGTGAGTCCTCCCTGCTAAAATAAAGGATAAATTAAAAAGAATATTCCTTAAATCAATGTAAGTTAATCTGTGGAAAGCACCGCTTAAATATGTTTTTTTTTTTTTTTTTTTTTTTTTTTTTTTACCTTTTAACCAACAGTTGTCCTGTAACAGTGTAAGAGACGGTGTAATGAATGGGGTGGATATGTCAGCCAATCAGAAACACCCAGGAGGGCGGAACGAACTTGTTGATAATTCTATCTGGCGTCGACTCCCAGTGCGCAAGCGCAGCCCCCGGGTGACGAAGATGGTGCTCATCAAGGAATAGTGAGTGTTAAATGTTTTTTTAAATGGCATTTTCGCGCATTTGAAAGACTCAATTTTACTAACATCGGATCTTAACTGTACGGTTAAACGTTCGTGTGTTGTGTAGCGCTTCGGTGGCTCGATTACAGCCCCGTGAAGCAGCTTTGAGAAGGGTGGATCAGGACGTGGATAACGGAGCTCACCGGTCTTTTTTAGGCGTCGCTACTTCCAGCTAGCGCTAGCTCCCGAGTTGTACCAGCAGAGGGGATAATTAGCTTCTTAATGAAAATGAATTACATAAAAAAAAGGCTTTACAGATTACCCCTCAAACAAAGCGTATTTATGTTGTTAACGTGGCTTCAACTGTTTAACCCCCCCCCCCCCCTCAGCGTTAGCATGGCTAGCTTGTTAGCATCGCCTGTAAAGTAACGTTATGTTAAGCTTCAGTCCCGGGACTGACAGATTAAGGTTCCTCGGATTTACCGTGAATGCTAGCTGGCTACGTTAGCTGCTAGTATGCCAACCTAACACTAAGCTAGCTGCTAAGTTAAAGCTCAATGCAGCAGGCTCCCCCCCCTCCTCAGTAACACACAGCAGTCATACCCTTCAAGCTAATTACTTTGTTGTCCCTAGCATCGATGAGTTAGCCCTTTAACTGGGCGGCTAATCGGACCATAATAATGAAACTGTCCATTCATCAAAGCTGCCAGTACATCTGTTATACTGGGATTTATTTTTAGTGGCTTCTTCTCCCCGTTTTATCTCATTGAAGCTTGCTTTCAGTTTGTAGGAAACCTGTAATGGTACCTGTTGTAGCCTGTGGGTGTAAAGGTAGCACAGGTTAAGTCTCCCCCCCCCCCGCTGTGCTCTTTTATTACTTATTTTTTTATAAGGTGAAATAAAGTGACAAACAGGTGATATATAAATGAGGCACAAACAGACAAGGTCAGGACAACGACTCCAAAATACACTAAAATAAAACAAATAAAGACATCAACAGACACACATCAGACTACTAACAGAAAAACTACAAAACTATATGAAATAAGATAAGATATACTTTATTCATCCCAGCAGCCAGCATACATACAAACACACAACACAACACATATATACAAACATATCCCACCCATACAAAAAAACATGAGCCCACAATACAGTTTGATAAATGCAACTCAGGCTGAAGTTTAAATGTCTTCTGTCCTTACTTAAAGGGGAGTCGTTATAAAGTGTAATTGCAGTCGGTAAAAAAGTATTTTTAAATCTGTCCTTTTTGCAGCTTAGCTGTCGTAGCCTCCCACTAAAAACACTCTTTTGTTCACACACGAGATTGTGTAAGGGACGCATGTTATTGTCCATAATGTTCAACGGTTTCTGTATCATCCTTCTCCCCATCATACCTAAGAAAGGATACAAGAAGTGAAAGAGAGAAGGTGCTTTAAGAAAAGCTAAAGACCCAGCTCTTTCATGAATACCTACTAACTTAATGATGATGGTCTCCATATTATTGATGATGATGATGGTAATGACGATGGTTTTTGTTTGATAACGACGACTTATAAGATGGTTTCTATACTGATTAGAGCTCTCAAGAACTGCCCTCAATGTTGTGTTTTGCCTCTGGTCACTTCCTGTCAGCACCTGTGTGTCCAATCAGACTCAAAGCTGATCGTTTGCTCTTACTCTCATTGTTCCCTTTTTTCTAGATCCTTGCTTGTGTTGTTCTTACTCTCTGATGTACGTCGCTTTGGATAAAAGCGTCTGCTAAGTGAATTGTAGAATTGTAGAAGAGAGTTGAGGAGTTGAGCAGTGTGTATGGTATGTGTTAAATATGTTGATGTTAAACAATGTTGTGGTGTGAGAGTTTGTGTAATGATTATGTTTTAGCAGGAGTTGACTGCAGCCGGGGTTTTGGGTTTGGTTTGAGCGTTATTTGATTGGAGGGGAGGATGGAGGGAGAGGCGCCCCCTGTGCTCTCTTGTGTACACAGCATTCGTGTTAACTTAATTCACAGCTTCACCTAAGGTGTTAACATTTACAATCAAAGTATTCATGTGTCTCTAAATCCTAATTGTATTTTACTTTAAAAAACATTGTGTGTTTCTACAGCTACAGAGATGTCTATCCACAGTCATCTACCAACAAAAGATGCTGACCTAATTTGTTTTTAAAGCACGATGTCAAAGTTTTAAATTGGATAAGATACCGACAAAACTAGAAGTCCTGGACACCCAATATTTGGTATTTTCTTTTTTAAGACGTCAACAAACAGGCATCTCCTGCACACTGTCTA